TTAAAAACATAAGCCACCTTGCCTGTCTACCGTTGAGCTTAGGCTGCTTCATAAATGTCTGGAGATTAGCATGGTCTGAAAGCACCTCGACGGGGTACTTGCTACCCTCTAGGTAGTGTCTCCATTGTTTAAACGAGTAAACGATAGCGAAAAGCTCTTGATCTGGCGTCGCATAGCGGAGCTCCGCACCACTAAATTTCTTTGACCAGAATGCCACTGGGTGCCATGTCCCGCTTGTGTCTGGCTGCGATAGGATTCCAGCCATCCCGAGATTTGATGCATCGGGTTCGATACGGATATGTCTTTGTGGATCAAAATGGTGGAGAACTGGGGCATCTTGGAAAGCATCGAGAAGCTGGCGGAACGCTTGCGTTTCTTCGTTAGAGAGCTCGACACTCCCAGGCTTCTTGCCATTCTTGCTTCCTCGAAGTAGAGAGGTTAGGGGCAATGCAATTAAGCTATACCCCTTGATGAATCGTCGGTAAAAGTTGCAGAATCCTAGGAACACTTGGATTTCGTGGTAACTTTTCGGGATATCCCATGAAGTGATAGCGTCGACGCGCTGCTTGTCCATAGAGATACCATCCCTAGATATCACAAATCCTAGGAATTCGACCTGATCCTGATAGAAGGTGCATTTTGTAGGCTTCGCGTATAGCTGTGCCTGTCGTAACCTTTGTAGCACTTGACAGATATGTTCTGTGTGGGTCTCGCGGTCTGGCGAGAAGATTAGGATATCGTCGAGATACGCCACACAAACGACATCGAGAAGCCCTCTTAACGCCGTGTGAATATAATTCTGAAAAGTGGCCGGTGCATTCGTAAGACCAAATGGCATAACTGTATATTCAAAATGGCCATAACGAGTGCGAAAGGCGGTCTTCCACTCCTCTCCTTCATGGATCCTGATCCGATAATATGCGTCTTGTATATCGATCTTGCTGAAGAACCGCGCGCCAGCGAGCCGATCGAGGATCTCCGAGATAAGAGGAAGAGGGTACCGGTTCTTAACTGAGACCTTATTTAACCCCCGATAGTCTACGCAGAGACGTAAACTGCCATCCTTTTTGGGCACGAATAGGATGGGGGCCCCTGCTGGGCTCTTTGAGGGTCGGATCCGACCATTTTCGAGATTTTCATCTATATATGATCGGAGCTCTCGAAGCTCTGTCTGAGAGAGAGGGTAAATCGGGCCATACGGCGGCGTTTCACCGTCTTTTAGCTCGATAGTATGGTCTGTTGCTTTCTGAGGCGGTAAGGTCTTGGCATTTTCGGGAGCGAATACGTCGCTGTACGCTAGTAATTCGCTAGGAAGCCCCTCACGTGAAGTGGGGTCTTTTTGGTCATCTCCTGGAAGCCACACTTCCTCAGGAAGTTTCACCACTGCGTATACGTACGCGTGGTTCCGGCATTCTTTCACGAATTGATGGGGGGTGGCTATCGAGTATGACGATGCGACATACCACCACTGGCGTTTATATGGCGAAAAGTCGATGTGTTCATCTCGTACAGTTGTCATAGAAAGCAGGACTGGGCTTCCTTCGAGACGAGGATCTCGATCGATAGCTAGGCAGCGCCTCTCGAAGGTACGAGTAGTTCCCCGTGAGTCCGTTGCTGTGATAGGGACTACCCACACCCCGTAAGTAGGTGTTGACCTTCGATTAATAGCTGAGATAATAACGCTAGTGAGCGGTGCACGACGAAGTCCGTATTGCTGAGCGAATTGATGACTGACGATGTCAACCTCAGCTCCGCTATCGAGATCCGCATGCGTTTCGATGTCGCCCCGTACGGTAATTGGGATATAGAGGCGGCATGCGGTCCTAATTGTTTCTTGAGGGGTCGGTGTTCCGGCTTCTACACCGACCCTTTGGCTTTTCCCGAGTGTACTGGTGCTGACTGGACCCTAGTTGAATTCTGGGGGCATTCGTCCTTCCAGTGATCGGTTGAACCGCAAGTGAAACAGCTATATGGTTTTGGTGGAGTTACGCCGTCGGTTCGTTGGCGATCATGCGGCTTTGCGCCGAATTCACGCCGGTTTGAATATGGTTTGATGTTTGGGTTTCGATCACCGCCTCGTCCTCGGAAGTTTCCACGGTTCCATCCTCGGCCCCGACCAGAGTTAGAGGATGGCCCGTTGAAGTTAATCCGTTTTCGATATCCCTGTTGGTCAGGGGAGTGATGTCTTTTGTTTGTTGAGCGAGGGGGGTAGTTTTTTGTGCCCGATTCAGTATAGATAAGGTTCCAATAGTGCATCGCTGTCGATACCATCTCGTCTCGATTTTTTGGTAGATGAAGCATAGCGTTTTGGATACGATTTCGGAGACGGAGCTGTAACTTAGTGAAGAAGTTTAACGCCCGTTGATCCTCCGGCGGTGCTTCGAAGTGTCTCTCGAGCGAAAGAAGGTAAGAATTAAAATCGCTCGGACTTTGATTCGGGCCTTGCCGGGCTTCTTGCAAGGAGGTAGCGATATCAGCTTGTAGTGTAGCTGAATTGTGTAGCAACGTAAGAGTCCATTTCTCGAATAGGTCCCACGTCGTTTTGTAAGCGGTTCGCTGGGGTTCCGCTTTTTCTTCAACGTAGTGTCGCCATCTTTCGCGGCAGTCAGAGCTCATGCTATTAGTGGCACCAAGGATCTTTCTTTCGTCCGATCCATATTTACGGGGTGCACCCGCGAACATGTCTTGGAGGTCGTTAAGCCAAGTTTGACGTTGTTGTATACTATAATGTGCTTTGAAAATTGGAACCTCGATTTTGATCTCTCCGGAAGCTCGTCCTCTTTCCGATGACGTAGAGGGAGAACGTCGATAGCGGTCCGACGTCGATTGCTCCGTCATTTGGCCGATCGCTTCCTCGAGTTCTTTCTTTCGAGTAAGCAACGCGTGAAGGGTTTCGAGGCGTTCGACCTCAGCGAGGTGCTCGCTAAGTTGGGGAGCCCGGTCCTGAGAATCATTCTCTAGACTGCTACTTTCGTCGTAGGCGGTAGCAGGAGGAATCATAGACTCGGCGTCGGTCCGGTGTGGGTTCGCTGGCGACCCACGAGCGACCGACGATCGGGTGGTCATTGTTGCTTTAGGAGGCATCTTCAATCTTAGGTAGTTGAAGAAGAAGAATCAGAATTGTAAAGAAGTAGGGTTCTAGTGTTTACAGGATAGAGCCTGTCAACTAGGTAAGATGAAGATGCCTGGAAGCGAACAATATATTGGAGGAATACAGAGACTGATTCTTGGAGAACCGCTGGGTTCTCCGGGGCAGACTATTTAACATGGGGGATCAGCGTTACGGTGAGCCAACGCTGACGTGTCGACACCTATATGGTGTCGATCCTCTGGGAGTGCGAGAGATCTGTGCATGGCTTCTGAGGATTCCGTTACACTTTCGTCGTAGGCGGTAGTAGGAGGAATCATAGACTCAGCGTCGGTCCGGTGTAGGTTCGCTAGCGACCTACGAGCGACCGACGATCAGGTGGTCATTGTTGCTTTAGGAGGCATCTTCAATCTTAGGTAGTTAAAGAAGAAGAATCAGAATTGTAAAGAAGTAGGGGTTCTAGTGTTTATAGGATAGAGCCTGTCAACTAGGTAAGATGAAGATGCCTAGAAGCGAACAATATATTGGAGGAATACAGAGACTGATTCTTAGAGAACCGCTGGGTTCTCCGGGGCAGACTATTTAACATAGGGGATCAGCGTTACGGTGAGCCAACGCTGACGTGTCGACACCTATATGGTGTCGATCCTCTGGGAGTGCGAGAGATCTGTGCATGGCTTCTGAGGATTCCGTTACAAGTTCTACGATACAGATCTAAGGGACGACCCACGGGACAGTATATCAAAGAGGTTCTATTTATAGCCTGGAGAAGAAATAAAGGATTTGCAAAGGTCTAGACACGATCTATAAGCCACACCGGACGGCCGTTAGTGTCCGATAGAACGGCTTTGTTGCTTAGGCGGTACTGCTAGAGCAGGCGAGTATTTAGAATGTTAGGCAGACTTGTGTCAGAATGGTAGGCTAAATCCCGATCCGTGGTTATGCTTTCCTGGTTCCTATTATAGGAGAGTAATTCTCCTGTTAAGTGGCAAGCTGCTTGTCTACCTAGTCTGTAGAACGTTCTAGAAGCTATATCTTCTGTCCTGCGTAAAGCTTCCCCGTAGAGAGTGTACTCTCTTTGAATCCGACACAACCCTATCATCAGCTCAATCCAATCGCTAGTCCTATATCTCTAGCAGATAGCTTGTAGAAACTATGCCAGTCATGGACAGACCATGAGCTTATGTAAAAATATCTCCGGTTTTTGCACTAAAACCGAGGAACCGATTGGCTTCCGGAAATGGATTGAGGTTGTGGGCCGGCCCTCCTGCGGCCCCTAAACTTTATCTCAATCACCGTCCGCATCTTGATTACAGGGTTGATCGAAATCAGTTCCACCACCTGCACACACAGGCTTTCTCTCCCTGGCGCCCTACTCAGATCGCACTAGACTTGATTCCGAAAATCCAGGTTCCCACTGTCTCTCCTCGGTGTATTTCTGGTAGATCACTAGAAATACCGTAATTACACGTTCCGGCTTGGGGTACATCCTCGGAAACCCCTCATTCCCACCGAAGGGAGGCGAAAAGAAGCGTCTAATCTAAAGCTGCATTCCCCAAATTATCTTATACGCATATACGCCCCCTTCCAATCTCGAGATTTTGCGGCGTCTTGTAGCTGACCAGGTTTTGGATGAACCTCTCGCACTCTTGGGCACCCCTTCCTCCTCCCCGCGTCCCGGACTTTGGTGATGCCATTTTGGTTTCTGCTCGGCATTTAGTCAGAATTTCCAGATTACCAAGAATATGAACCCCATGATAGATAAAAAAAAAAGTGTTTAATTAATTCAATGAGACCAGACGTGGCATTTAAATGGCTGCCAGGGAGCGATGCTTTATTCGCTCACCAATCTTGATCAAAGTTGGAGAATCTGGAAACAGCCAAATATTTATCCAACGTCTTGGCGTAGTGTCTATGATATATCCTCTTTCTCGAGGAGTCCCAACCCTCCAATCCCGTCGTTGATGCGCTTCACAATCTCGGCTAAATTATCTGGTTGATTGATCCGATACAGACCATCATCATCCGGCTGGTAGAGGTAGAAGACTGTCGGCGAGCCCGCTTCCAGCATCACCCAAGTTTCAACGACGCCAGCATTAGAAGTCATTGAAATGTATAGGGGCTTTGTTTCGGTGGTATCGATGCCCTTATATTCGAGTAACTTCTGGATTTCACCATCACTTCCCCACAAACTCTCACCCATCTTTTCAAAATCATTCGTCCATCCGGCCGGTGGCTCGATCTATCTCATTCAAAAATACTTGTCAGCTAACGAGAAATAGTGGTCAAAACGACAGTGAACAAACATCTCTGGCTGTGGCAACCAGCCTGCCATCCACTACCTTCACGCCTAAAACGCTGCTCATTGTTGATGGGAATAAGCTGACAAAGAAGTGGTTTGTCTTAGAATTGGATTAATGGGAGATGTGAGAAAGAAAAGAATGTCGGGGGACGCTTATTTGAGGAGGCAGGAAAAAAAAGCCCAAGAATTTAACACTTCCTTGCCCCTTCTTCCAGGGGACCTCGGTTAGAAATATTACGCGCGTTGCTACAGTACTGTTCATGATCTTCAGTAACAAAAGTTCTCATAAAACTCATTTTGCCAAGCCTTAGTAATGGAGCGGTGAAGACCTACCGCCTCTTCTAATCAAATACCATTGGATTAAATGGTGTTTCCGGAGATCTACTCCGGCAGGGTATTATGTCATTCGGCCTTGGCAAAATTAACGTAATTCACATGCGAGCGGCCCACCCAAGCGAGCGGCCCAACTCAAAACACCATACTAAATGGGATACATTACAACTTGATATCTCAACAACGGTGGTGTGTCAGAACTTCGCATTATAGCCTAATGCTTTTCATGTGATATTTAGCCTATTTAGGGACTTTGGATAATTTCTTGGACTTAGTGGTTAAGATATATATATTTCTGGCTCTCAGCAACGTAATTTTCGGTACCATGATATTGCAGCCTATCAATTTCCTTGAAGCTGATATATAACATTGAAAAGTCTTATCAATGGCTATCAACAAGCAATAAGGTAAAATGAAAACGTGGTTGTTAAGATTTCAAGTTGTAATTTATCCCATTTAGTATGGTGTTTCGAGCTGGGCCGCTCGCTTGGGTGGGCCGCTCGCATGTGAATTACGTTATTATGCCCGACCTTATTTAATCCTCCTTAGGAATAGTTATCACATTCTTTCAAACAGCTTAATACAGAATGATCAATTTAGTGAAATTCTAAGGAATATTAAAAATGGAGGGAGGTAAACTAGCTACGAGCGTGGTGAGTTGTGTGAAAAATATACAGTACTTGTATGTCTTAAGGATACTCTGCGGGCAGAAGTGAAAAATACATCAAAAGAGTCCACAACAATGCGGGAAATGCAAGTGAATTTTTGAAAGGTAGACTAGCTTTGGATTCCGAGAATAGTAGGCAGTAACTGGTTCTAATGATGCTGATAACAAACGTGCATAGTCCTCCATACTCCAATATATTTCACCCTACCTTTGCTATGACCGGAGTCTCAGTTGTCCTAGCGTCATATTCCCAGTACGACCGTGTTTCCGTTGTGTCTCACAAATTCATTGGCTGACAAGGTCCGTCTTCTGATGTGACAGCAAGCTTAAAACAGTATGGCATTGTATGCAAGATGGAGCTAATCTACCAAGGGGAGCCAATGTAAAAAGATGAGTTGAATTAAATCGAAGAAAAGATGAAAAGAGCGGATGGTGCGAGGACACGTTAGGGTGTCCTTGCTTACAGGAATAAGAAAAGGGCGGTTGAAAGTCCCGTTCTCGGAGTGTCAAAAATCCCCTAGTACAAACGAAATCACAACACAAATGAAGCTAAACTATTTCGGGTGTATTTTAGTACCCCACTTTCCTCGACATCTGACATGACATGCTAACTCTGTTTGTCAACGCTGAACAGGGCGACAGGTACCAGGGGTTTTCGCGTCGACAATTTTTGTGATAGAAACCAGGTCAACCGCATTTGCTGGAGCTTCGATATTAATATTTATACTGTTGCCAGTACCAATGGTGTGTTCGACAGTCTCCCGGATTGCATGAGGCGAAGTCCGTTCAATAGTCACCAGGTACTGGTTCTCTGGTGTCCATGGCAGATTTTCAATGATGATGTCTAGGTAGAGTTAATTGTCTGCATACCCAAGAGGAAAAATGCACAAGAAACATACCATACACCTTGGCGTGATTGGTGTTCAAGTGTGGCTGTGGTGTGCTAAGACATAATCCTGGGAGTGATGGGATATCATAGCAAAAATACTCAGAGCACCACAGTCCTTCAGGCGTTACCGAGGCACAAAAGCCAGGCGCGGACGAGTTACTGGACTCATCATATACTTCGGTGACCCCAGCGAGAACATCATCCGGTACCTGGTAATTTGAGGTCAAAACTTGCACAGTGTTCTTGTCATTGGAAATTCCTGCAAGCCATGCGAGGCCATCGGAGCTGAACTTGGTTGCTTCCAACCGATTTGGAGTGTCTCGAATGAATTTACCGGATAGCTCCCAGCCAGTACCTATCTGGTTCACCCGATCCGTTCCATTCGAGTTAAGTCCATAGTAACCTTCGAAATAAGCATCACCCATTCCCACAAACCCATGTGAGACACCTGGCCAAACAAAAATTTGCTCTAGTGGCGCTTCCTGGGCATATATCTGTGCTGACTGGATATACGCATTACATAAGCTCAAGTCATCATACTCGGCTTTGATCGTTTCATTTTTGGGTAAGAAACCGGCCTAGGTTTTGCGTCAATACTGTCGTTGGGGAGGTAGGGGGAGGGTGACGGGGATTTGGGCTTTCCATACAGGGTTACGATTGTATTCAGTAATCCAAATTGGGATATTCTGAAGTCCCACTTTGTCCAGCTCATTACGGACACGACGCGTGGAGTCTATCAGGTCTCCTGGTGCCTGTCCACTGTCAGTGATGAACACATGAACACCAAAGAGCTTTACGCCATACCTGTGTCAACGGCGAGAGCCAATGATAAGTGATCGCTTTGATCGGGACCTTGTTCTTTGCCACGAACCTAATCACTCTTAGATTAGTGAACAGCCCACAGGCGGCCTCGCATAGCAGAGGCACCTACTCGAAAAATGGCTCATTGTAAGGATTTTGGGAAACTGATGGACTGATCCAGAAGCGGTTGGAGGAGAATGCCCCAACACCAGCACTCGTGTTCGCGCGATGGACACCAATCGCAAATCCCTGCACCAAAGCGAAGAAACGTTGAACCTCCAACTCGGTCAGAGTAGCGTTAGTAAGATCCCTCTCGGGAAAGAAATCAATCAACTCTAGAGCGTCATTAAAACCAGATCCATTTGCACCATTTCCATATCGATCTGCAATGGTATATCCAACCTTATCAGAGGTTAGCGGCGAGTGACCCTGCGCTCCTAGGCGAGCACTTACCTCTTCGAACATCTCTGGAGTAGCATATTCGGGTCCCAAATGGTCTTCAAATTGGATACTTGCTTTGCGACCAGTGGAGACAACGTATCTCATCTGCTCATCAAGCTCTGTGAAATTGTAATTCTGGATCAGGGTTGGATCACTGGCAATGCCAGTTTGGTCATAACCTGCCAGACCTCGTTAGAACAATCACTCAACATAGGAGTTAACACAATTTACCAGTAAAAAGATAGCGAGGGGTAGGATATATGAAGATTTGATTGGTACGCGATTCATCCCAATGATTAGCAAGGAGCTTATCTGTAGGGCCTGGATATCCGATTATGGGCCAATTTGTGTTCTGAGTGTTCTTAAACACGCCCGTCTCCTGCGATGCATCCACCTGGATTCGTATCCCATTGACAGGTGGCACAAGAAGGTGTGCAAAAATTGCAAGTGTTCCGATGAGAGTAGAGTTATGCCGCATTTTTTCGAAGCGATAGATTCGGACCAATAGAAAAGGCACCAACGAAAACCTTAGATTCTGCAAGCATGTATTAGGGGACACCCCATGGGGAAATGACAACCTTTTAGTTATCTCGAAATCCGTACATGAGGTTGCAGAAATCTAATGAGGGGGTGGGGCCGATCTGGTACCGGGAAGACAATGAGGTTGTCGGGGACGTCAATTTAATTTAGCTTCGCCCATATTTTATGACCCACGATTTCGGAGTTTCTTAGGCCTGGGTTAGGAGGCTGTAGGAGTATTATCAGAAATAAGTCCGGCCGAAACATTCCACATGCCACGGGGAAATTTTTCTCACCACAGGATCACACTTTTATGTCAACCTATTCCAAAGGAGAGAAGGGATTCCCATTCCCATCGCATTGCCAAAGTGGGAATTGCTCTCACGGAGGACCAGAAGAGGAGCTCCATTGAAGCGTGTGAGGAGGGTAGAATGGATTTTGCAGTTACACCTGGGCTTACTCAGAACGGCAGAGATTAAATAACTACCCAACTACGCTAGTTCATCTGGGGCCTGGATCACCACGAAAAATAGGAGAAATAGCCCCATCCACCCCGAATATATTGCCTATGTTTTTGACCGCAGAGAATCTCCGATAAAACCCTCCATTTGATCGCAGAAATGAACGCAAGTCCCAGCCCGAGTTTCCCTTCTTCCCCCGACACCAGCGCGCCAGTCCACAAAAGACCGACCGGCACCAGAGCGTGTGACCGGTGTCGGCGGCGAAAAGCAAGGGTCAGAAGCCCAGTAACGGAGAATCTGTGGCCCCCCAACTGATGATATGACCAGTGTGACTTTGCAGACTCGGGCCAGGAGCGCTGCACCAACTGCCATGAAGCAGACAAGCAATGCCGCTTTGATGACCCTGTCGCGCGACGAGGACCGAAGGCCCAGAAGAAAAGAACACACGTCGAAACAACCTCGTCAACACGAGCTCGCTCATCCTTATCATTCTCTCTTTCCAATGCCAACCCCACGGCGGAATTAAACGCGCTGTCCACATCTTCAGCTACCCCCTCCTCCCAATGGGAGCGTTCGCGGTCCCTGAACGCCGATCTTGGGCTTTCCCCACAGGCCATTTCCAATTCTGTACCGAGTGGAACCGCCACAGCGCGTCAGAGATGGCAGAGCCTGTCAAGCGCGTTTTCGACAGATCTGGAGCTTTTGGTAACGCGTTGCTTTAACCTGTTTTTCGAGTACCTTTATCCACTTACGCCGTTGGTGCATGAGCCGAGTCTTCGCGACTCGTTGTCATATTTCAACGATACGTTTCCGGCACGGGAAAAGAGCAGCATCTGTGGCCTCTTGGAGAGAGGGCCAGACACTGCCTTCACTTTGATCACAGCTGTTTGCGCTGAAGCAGCATTTCTACTCCCAGAGGACCTATTTCCGGAAGGCCAATCCGTGGGCCATTCATTCCTCAATGCATCCCGAAATTGTCTCAACCAGTACCTGGAGGCGGACCTTGAGAATCCCAACGCTAGCTCCATCACGATCCGCTATTTCCACTCAAACTGTCTTCATGCCGCAGGCAAGCCAAAATACTCATGGCACATTTTCGGGGAGGCGACACGGCTTGCGCAGGTGATGGAATTGAACGAGGAGGCATCACTCGAAGGTCTACCTCCAATTGAAGCTGAGCTGCGCCGGAGAGCATTCTGGATCGTGTACATGGGCGACAAGTCGGCTGCAATATTGAACGACCGCCCAATCACCATTCACCAGTTCTCGTTTAAGTCTGGCATCACCACAGCGTATCCCACAGGTATCGGGGATGAGGCACCAGTGCTCTCGCCTGAAAACTCAGCACCCACTTCAGAGGTGACGCGTAAGACCTGCATTGAAGGTTTTAATGCCAATTTGCGTCTGTGGCAGAATGCATCTGATCTGCTTCTCGAGCTGAGGCTCCTACAAGGTCGTGAAAGAGCGGAGCTTTCTATACAGCCTTTGCTTACAGCCGATGAACGGAATCGCCTAGATACTCTATATATACGCTTCATCACATGTCTCGATAATTTGCCGCCGTATCTGCAATCCTACACATTCGCAGTGCTGGTCGGGAGCTCGAAGGAGACTACACAAGTGAATCAATTCCTCATCCAGTGTGCAAATTTGCAAGTCTCTGTACACTGCCTGAGAATGGTTATCACGCAGAAGCTGGAGGGTCTGCCTTACTGCAGCTTAGGCGTTGAGCTTGCGGACCTTCGCAAGACCGAGATCGCACGGGATATGCTGCGTGTTATACAAGAAGCCCCATTCTGGTCGTTGCAAGTAAATGGCGAGCCATATGTATGCTTACGCCAGATCGCTTATTCGGCTTATTCGTCATCATGGACTATGAGCTAACTGGGTTGAACAGGTTGAGAAAATTCGCCTTGTTGGTGCGATACTTCTTGAAATTATACACAGAAACGGGTCTTCACCCATTGCGGCTCGGGCACGCAGCGATTTTGCCGTACTTCTCGATTTACTAGCTCGGCTGGACTCGAAGGCGTCTGACGCTTTGAGAAACGATCCTACATTTCTGATTTAAGCGAGTATTGCCACCAGTGGCTTGCTTATGGTATTCTCAAGTTGAACATGTGGAGTCACAGTCATTCTGTAGGCCTACCAAACAAAACTGAAGAAAGTTAATTAGAGCGACTTACTAAATGAAAATGGAGAATTACAAACCGAAATCCTGCTGCTCATCTTTCTAATCATTTTGGGAGGACCTTTTGTGACATTTTGTTTAGCAGGTCAGAGGACGTAAATATTATTGTATGAAGATATGGGAAAGAGAAGCTATCATTCATTGCATTTCACTACCTAACGACTAATGACTAAATCTCGTCTCTTTTTAGACTTCCTTCTCGTGCACAAATTCTAGCTCCTCCTTCTTGATCTTAATCTCCTCGGCGAGATCCTGCTTAGCATCCTTGCCCTCAAACAAATAAGCGAGCTCCTCCAAAGTCGGGCCCGATGTCTCAACGAAGAAGAAGTAGACAATCACAAAGATAATGGCCACCCAGACGCAGTAATAGATGTAATACCTCCAGCTGATATTCTCCAATCCAATGGGATTCACGTAGCCATTGAAAATGGATGATACTTGGATCGTGAGGAGCACAAAGGCCCAGGTCTTTGCTCGCATCTGATACGTGACGATTTCAAGCGGATATGTCACCACTGTACCGACTCTGTTAGCCATGAGAATGTCACAAGTTGGTTCAACAATGACTAACCAAGATTACTCCATGCAAAGGTGTAGAAGGCCTGGAAGAGGAAGATGCAGGCAAGGACAAGACGACCAGCGGCAAGAGACCCGGCGAGGTACTGTTGCGCGGCGATAGTCCATACGATGAACACAACGAGAACACCAGCGGAGCCAACGAGGAAGAATGTGCGGCGTTTGAATCGATCCACGAGAAACGCCATGGTGATAGCAACGATGTACTGCCACAGCGTGATCATACCATTAACTAGCGTGATATCCTTCTCCGCCTTGATGCCGGTGTCTTGGAGGATCCGAGTCAGGTAGCTGGAGACGAGATTGACACCGGAGGTTTGACTGAAGAGGGCCGTTGCAAAGCAAAGTGACAGTCGCTTAATATTTGGTTTCGAGGAGAAAAAGGCCTTCCACGTCATATTTTGCTCGGCTTCCTCGGCCAACGCCTGCTGAATCTCGGCAAGCTCAAACTTGACGAGCTCGCTGTCGGGATCGCACTCGCCGTGATACTTGATGAGGATTGCGCGGGCTTTTTCCAGCTTTCCCTTGGCAATCAGCCAACGAGGGGACTCCGGGCAGAAGAAGATGAGAATGAGCTGGTATACTGATGGAACAATTTGAATGAGCGTGGGCAGCTTCCACGACCATTCACTAGGGATGCGGAAGCATCCATAAGTCGCCCATGCGCCGATGACATATCCCAGCACAATACTCGTGTTGTAGAAGGTCGTGGCCTGGACTCGTTCTTTGGGATGCGCCAGTTCCGTGACCAAGACGGGAGCACCCATCTGGATAAGGGACGAGCCGATACCGAGGACAATCTTGCCTCCGATGAACATGTTGAGCGAAGTGGCAAACAACTGAACGATGACGCCGGAGATGATGATGATGCAGCCCAAGGCAGTGGGAACTCGACGGCCTGCAACATCTCCGATCCAGCTGAGGAAGATGAAAGGAATGACGCCACCGATGGCGTTCGAAGCACCGAAGAAGCCAAGGTTCGAGCCAGTAGGATGGCCAAAGCGTTCTTGCCAGCTCCCGACTGTCTGAAGGGCATTGGTCATGCTCCTATTCCTTCGTTAGCGCAGCCAAGCAGATGGTGACCCAAGCAGTGGATGATGAAATACATGTCAAGGCCCAACGCCATACTGGCGAAGAGAGAGGATGTGAGCAAAAGGTACAAGAGGATACCATTCTTGCGTTTCCAGAAAGGCGGAACAGCGCTCAGGTCGATTGGAGACCGTATGTCGTCGATGGCATGGGCAGCCTTGGGAGCCATAGCTGACGAGTAGAGGTAATGAGACGTTGCCTGCAGGGTAAGGAATTGTGTCACCAAGGATATGGAGGCCAATGGCTGATATCGATCTTATATACACAGCACAATGCTGTCAAGTGGAAAGGTTCCACCTTTGAGCTTCCCCGTGGGGAATGTCCGAGTGGAGGAGAGAATTCGAGACGCCGATGAGCCATCCAAGTTATCGGCGAAATGCAGTCGGAGAATTGGGAAAGGCGTGGGAGGATTGGAGGAATTGTCGAGAATGGCCGTAGGCGTGACTGCTTTAGTGGAGTTGGAGTTCGGCACTTGAAATCAAGGCAGGGCCGTGCCCCGAATCGCCGACGGGGGCGAAGTACCGGGAAATCGGCGAAATAGGTACCAGGGCATGCGATCGATGTCGGCGGCGAAAAGACAAGGTGGGCCATGGAATAGCGCTCGAAAGCGATCGGGCGAAATCAAGATGCCCTAAACTAAATCAGTTCCTTTCCTAGCTGGGCGCGGAGAATATTGGAGCTCTGAATCGTCGGGGAGAGCGGAGAATTGTGTCGTGTCAAGTTGTTGAACGGAAAAGCGGGGGTTGGCCACGGTCAAATACTCAATTACCCGCCCGAGCGCTCTGCTATAAGTTTCCCCGACGCACGGGCCGATCGTCCCGCTTCGGAAGCCAATCAACGGCAGGCCACAAGGCCTCTGGACGAGAAAAGAAACACCAAGCAACCAAAAGGCAGGATGGCGAGGTTCAACATAAACATGGCCATTGATTGAAAGAAATCTAAACACAAATGTAACCCCATAGCATATTTAGAATCAAGGAACTTGCTGGATGCTCTAGCTTGCAATTCAGGGAGCTTGAATGAACTTGGGTGTTTCTGTGTCTATCTCCTCGTTTATGCTATCAAATAATCCATATAAGCCCTCATAGTATCCGTTCAATCAGATTCAAGCACCTGGTTAACATGCAAAACACCTGAATATGTATCCCTCTTGCAGCCCTGCCTTGACAAATTCGTCTCTCCTCGAAAGGTGCTCCTAAAGAGGACGAATGTGACACAGGCCGAGTCATAGCGTACTCAAACAAGTTATTCTTGACCATCCCTGCCACTCACTAGGAGCCTAGGTCCTAGCAGTCATCTGTTTCTCAAACATCCCTTTCAATATCAATGCAGAATGTTTCGGGGTTCTTTCTAGGGTGTTGTAATCAGTGAAAGTGACGCCAAAGCGAACCCCGTAACCATCAGACCACTCTAAAGGATAAATCAGTATTGAGCTCTATTTATTGAATATTGGAGTAGCGCACCTAGATTGTCCATCAAGGACCAGGCAAAATATCCCCGGATATCAGAGCCGTCCCCGTTGCGCGCGAGAGAAACAGCATCAATGTGGTCTTGGAAGTATTGAATCCGATACGTATCATTCACTGCCTCTTTGACCGTCATGTTTTCTTCCCCAGGGCAAGGACATCCGTTTTCAGTGACATAGATGGGCTTTCCGTATTTGCGGTAAACTCGGGTCAAATGTTTTCGGAACAGGCCAGGAGTCGAACGCAGCCAATGAACGCCAGATGGCTCCCCAACTGACAACCCGTCTTTGTTTTCTTGAAACTCTTCAACATTCCCTAGACAGTCAGTTTCGGGAGCTGGCTCGTCACGGTGGCGGGCAAACTGGGAAGTGTAGTAATTCATTCCGTAAAAGTCCATCTCTGCTTCGCGAAGCAGGGCAAACTCAGCTTCTGTAAACTCAGGTAGACGGTCACCCAGTTGCTCTCTCATACAATCGGGGTAGTCTTGTGCAAGGCTTTTTTGTATCAGTCAAAAATTAGTTTTCTTGCATAATATATAGGAATGATACAATATATATACCAGACAGGATTGGCAAACCAGCCAATATGGAACTCCATACGTCGCTGGGCAGCCTGGTGATCGCGCTCATCATCCTTATCCCAGGGCTCATAGAAGTCTCCATTCAAGGAAATTCCAATCCTTCCATTTTGAGAGGCTCGGAAGTGTTTGTTATAAAGGGCAACCGCACGGGCGTGGCTCATGATCAGAGCCTTACCGACGGTCCAAGGCTCCGTCGCAGAATTACCCTCAGTAGACTGGGGATTGATGCTGCCCCTTCCAGGAGCATTTCCACCGGTAGAATAGCCCTAGAATATGTCAGATTCAAATATCGATAGGGAAATATAAGCCAAGAGAAACACTCACAAAAATGGAAACAATCCACGGCTCATTCAGCGTAATCCAGTTTTTGACTCGGTCTCCAAATCGCTCATAGCAGACTTTTGCGAACCGCTCGAAATCGAGCTGAGACTCCTTCAAATTGAGCCAACCTCCATATCTGTCATGGAGGGCTTGCGGCAGGTCCCAGTGGTACAATGTCACCCAAGGTGTGATCCCTCTTGCAAGCAGGGCGTCAATTAGTCCGTTGTAGAATGCAATGCCCTGTTCATTTATGGAATCGCCCCTTCCACCCATAGGAACGATTCGCGACCACGAGAGAGAGAATCGGTAGGCTTTCGCACCATATTTGGACAGAAGATCAAAGTCATCCTCAAACCGATGGTAGTGGTCGCATGCGATATCGCCGCTGGCACCCTTTGTTCTTGTTGGCTCCAGGTGACAGAAGGTATCCCAGATTGACTTTCCACGACCATCTTCATTGACAGCTCCTTCAATTTGATAGGCGGCTGTCGCAAAGCCCCATTCGAAGTCGCTAGGCAATGAGGTGGCCGGAAAAGTAGTCGCCATTTCAATAAAACTTCAAACTTGCCTTCGCAGCTATTGTTGCGAAATTTAAAACTCCCGAATTGAAAGAAATCTTATCCTCGCACCTGTGACAACTACAGGAGCTCTGGGGCCCTAACCTTATAGCCATGAGAGCAGGGTGGCTTGTGGCTTTGAGACAAGGTGTGGAGCTTTCGGCGTTCCAAGGTTGGGGTCGGAGATTTACCGTGGCGTCGGGGTAATTAACCTTTGTCCCGCGTGCTATTTCCCCGATGAATTTCTTGCACGAAACGACCCAAACCTTAAGAGCTGAGAGCTTGAAACTTCTATCTTACGGTTTTAAGGTTGCCGGATACGCTTTGTCCGTAATCTCCCTACTTGGCGATGCTAGCTAGTAAGGACCGTGAGGTGGCCCCTTGGCTGGCCAGGGTTGATCTGTCGCCGGAGTCCCCACCAGTCGCTGCTAACTTCACTTCAACGTCGACTGTTACGGGGCGCCCTCAACAAAGGACCACGGGAGTTGGAGGTCTTCTCCGATTATGAGTTGCGGTGAACTGCAACTATCCATGACTGTGGACCTCCCCCAGGGAGCCCGCATCTAGCACGCATTCAGCTCAAGTCCCACGAAGAGCATGCACCCCGCAAAAGTTCGTGTTCGCAAGAAGAGTCAGCAGCTGGACGATTCGATGGTGAAGACCCCTCGACACAATTATGTTTCAGTCAGGATAAAATGCCTTGGAAAGGTGTACATTACAATCCCCAAGAATCAGTCTTGTGCTGAATCTGACTACATTGTTCCTCTTCCATTCACGGCTGCCTCTCCTTACCTAGTTGACGGACTCCCGTAGAGTATACTGCCTTTTACATCCAGGAATGCCCATGTGTGCAGGGATCCACGGGCGCGTGAACTTTCTTATTCGTGCAGGTTCTAGGAATATTATTTGTCTCACCTATCTTGCATTGATGCCTACGAGTCAAAAACTCCGAAATCCTCTAGGACATAATTTATCCAGGAGCTATATAACCCTGAGGCGTATTTAGGATAAATGCAGCAATCTTCCCCGCATTATGACCAGGAATCTTCCGTACGCCCGTATACAGAAAGAGTCGGAATCAGATTCCCCTCTACAGACACACGCGTTGTTTCTCGGCTCGTATCCGAAACCACGCTATTCCGTATGTAGCCTGCACTGGTAATAATCAATGTCTAAGAATAGATTCTTTTAATACTAGGCCGACTGCATTACATGTGGTATTGTAAATTACCCGAAATTATGATACACATCTATACCCCTCTATGCTCTTGTTCCCTTCCTTTTGCAGCAGCCCTACCTTGCAATTTGCTACATCCTCTGCCCAATAAGGCACCGAGACTACCCCCAGCAAAGCTACAGTTTATTCATGATATGATTCAAAGCAAATCACTAACCACATTTCAAATGGCTGATGCAGCTGAATGCAGCGAACGAACGATCAATAATATCCGCAAAAACTCGAGGCTATTCGGAAATGTCCATGCCCCTCCAAACCGTGTCGGTCGGAGACGAACTATAACCCCACCGATGCTAGAAGCTCTCCGCAACCATCTGCTCGAAAAGCCCGGTCTCTTTCTTGGCGAAATGGTTATATTTATATGGGACGAATTTCGGATACTAGCGACAACCTCAAGTATCAGGAGGGCTCTCAATTTTATGGGCTGGTCCAAAAAGACCACCCGACAGAAGGCTAAGGAGTAAAAATGCAGAACTACGAGAGTTATATCTTCATAATCTCTCAGAATTTGAGTCATACCACCTAGTCTATGTTGATGAGTCTGGTTGTGACAAACCGATTGGATTTAGGCGAACAGGCTGGTCACCACTCAGTGTTGCCCCGGTTCAAGTGTCACAGTTCCACCGTGATGAGCGGTATCAAATATTACCTGCGTATGCCCAAGATGATATTGTTTTTCTCGCGTTTTTCGCGGTTCAACGGATGCCACTGTGTTCGAGGATTTCATCGACCAGCTCCTTCGGCACTGCGGACGATGGCCGGAGCCAAAGTCTGTCCTGGTTATGGATAATGCATCATTCCACCACTCTGGACGTATTGCGCAGATGTGTGCCGATGCCGGAGTTAAATTGGTTTATCTGCCCCCATATTCGCCGGACCTCAACCCAATCGAAGAGTTTTTCGCTGAGCTAAAGGGCTTCATAAGACGCAATTGGGGCTAGTATGAAAAAGACCCGAACCAAGGATTTGATTGCTTCCTTGATTGGTGTATTACTAAGGTCGGCGCAAGGGAAGAAAGTGCCAAGGGCCACTTTCGGCACGCAGGCTTGACTATTGAGTATTTGGATACCTGACAAATTCGTTTCTAGTAGCGTCATCTCACTGAGCGAGTCGGCATTGAGGTGCGAAAAGCTGTCACAACTTCGCCCATATCGCGATGTATGAAGTAGCGTAAGGAGAGCATTCATGGGCGAATTTCCTGACCCAAGACGCATGAAACAGACTGAATGGGGCTTGGCGCTAAAGGATTCCGCTCAATAGGGTGAGGGTGCCCCACCCTGTTGGAGCCGGCGCTTAACCAGTAGAATGAGAGATAGATGACAAGGCGCAGCAAAGCATTTAAATCGCAATCATTTCCCCTAACCGCGAACAATAACCTACTCCATATAATTCTGCAAGCTCTCTTGAACCATCGAAGGCTGCTAGGTTCTCGGTTACACTAAGCAATTCCAATTTTACATGTCGACTCCATGGCTGAAGTAGTTGGAGTTGTATCTAGCGCCATTACATTCGCGACCCTTGCAATCCAGGTCGGGAAGTCCGTTCAGATATTGAAAGACTACTGGGATGCAATACGCGACGCTCCTGGTGATCTCAAGTGGCTAGTACGAGAGATCGAAGTGCTCAGTGAACCTATCTTGGCGGGCTTCCCGTTTTCCCGACCAATCAATTGGCAACGGGACAAGCGCGTCAAGCTGTTGGCAAGTCATAGTGGCATTTGGAGTTGGGTTGTGGGTGGGGCGCGCGGAGTCTCGGAGATGTTAGCTAGTGGGGTCCTCGGGGAGTGTCAAGAGTTCATCCAAGTTGTCCTCAAGCTCTTGTCTGTGCGGCTCATTTGCAACCGGTCTCGTCTTGATCTGCCGAATAAACATGCTAGGACATTGACGTACACCCGCACGACATGCAGGGTGCAATACTTCAATGTGTACGCAGGCCATATCTCCCCATCAATTCTCCCCACTGTTAGGCACATCCTAGCCACGGTTGTACCCCTAAAGCTATACTTTCAGGTATGTCCATCACCATTGATCTTCCGGAATGTGGACAGGATATTGGTTTTGGCAGCTTGACCGCACCCAGAGAGCCAGCCCGGTATCCACTAAGAGGGTATATCTTGCGCAATTGCTCACAGCCTACAATGCGTAAACAAACGGCCCCGAAGATGCGCGAACGAGAGTATCCACGGAGACGGGTCCTAGAAAGATATTAGATAGACCAGACTAGCACCGACCGGGCTAGACGATGGATCCTCTGGGATGAACTATTTTTGTTGGTGAAAATTGGGCAGAATTTCGCCATCAATAGGGATGTTTGGGTCCCGTGTTGAAAAGAGTCACTTCCGCAAGTGGAGAGCATACATAATCCCTTCCATAGCACCAACAACCACGGTCTTTTTGCTCGAGCACCCCATCCATTCCCCTAATAAACAACTGCCATGACGAACTACCCCGCCGACGAAGGCTTGTTCCAGCCATACGACCAATTTATCCTCTTTGGCGACTCCATCACTCAGCAGTCAACTTCACCGGCTGATGGATTCGGCTTTCAGGCCGAGTTGCAAGAAGGTCGATCCCTCCGTCCGTCTGGATAGGTTCCAACTGACACGGTGTGCAGCCTACTGTCGTCGCCTGGATGTCATCAATCGCGGTTTCAGGTATGAACCGGCTTTGTACTGGTACGAACGGATAGTTAACCCGACCCATCGCCAGTGGCTACACCACCGCCAATGCGATCAATGTCTTTCCGAAATTCTTTCCCACGCCGCAAAGAGCTCCGGTGAAATTGATGGTACTCTTTTTTCCCCCTACGAATACTGAAAGAGCCTGCTGACGCACGGTAGACAATCTTCTTTGGCGCCAATGATGCCTGTGTCCCGAGGACCTTCCAGCACGTCCCCCTGGACAAGTTCAAGGAAAACCTGAGACAACTCATCCAACACCCCGCCGTGACAGCTCAAGGCACCAAGATCATCGTGCTCACCCCACCTGCAGTGAACGAGTACCAGATGGACCCGGGTGACGGCTCCCCCTTGGCCCGAACCGCCAGTCACACCAAGCTCTATGCAGATGCCGCCCGGGAGGTTGCGGCATCCCTGGGGGCCCCGGTTGCAGACATCTGGACATCATTCATGACCGCGGCAGGTTGGAAAGAAGGCGACACGCTCGCGGGTTCGAAGGAGATCCCCAATAATACGAAACTTCAGAGTCTACTGACCGATGGTGGGTTCTTCCTCGATACAAAGAAAACTAAACCGATCGATACTCACACGTGAATAGGACTGCATCTGACGGCGGACGGTTATCGGATGGTCTTCGAGGTGGTGATGGAAACGATTCGAAAGAATTGCCCGGAGTTAAGTCCGGAGCAATTGCCCTGGGTGCATCCGCCTTGGACAGAAGCGCCGCGGTATTAATCGGTACCTAGAAAACGACGTAGAGTAGAAATCCACATAGATACGTATACAGGAATCATGATTGAAGGATGGAGGGTGGTAGCATCCAAAGTGAAAGCGGTCTAGAATCGGACGGGAGAACCCCCAAGGGCCGGGGATCCCTTCAATTTCCTTTCCTTCTCCATTCATTATTATTCTTCATTCCTCCATCCATCCTTCCGTGCAACCATCAATCTCCTCTCAGTCTCTGCCCCGTATCGAGGATACGGAATCAGACGCGGTGATAGCTTCCACAGAGCCGAAATACCATGAGAATCCGGAAACTCCAGCTCCTTGGCTAGCACACACGCCGGTTCCTCGATAGCCCGGCTATTAACCACGTCCTCGTAGATGTGCAGAAATTGATCATCGGGCATGTTCGTCGGTAGTCGCGTCGACAAGTCGATGACTGTCTCCCCCGTCCTGTTGCCTCCACCATACAAAGAAGATACAGAAAGGGCAAACGCGGTGATCGATCTTCGCAAAGATATCTGGGCACCCACCCTTCCAGTACCCTCTTTGGTGAAAAATATGGACCGTTTGACAGCTATTAAAGAATTCTTGGACAATATCGACACACAGGATTCACAACATGGCTGGAGATTCCTTCTTGGTATATACCTTGTAGCACTCATCGGTTCTGGGCCTGCAACAGACAGCCACACTGGGCATGACGGAATATGTTTTGAATACTTCCGATTCGCAACTTGGGGCGGTAAGTAGGAAGCTTGCTTATATAAAGTAATAGTTATATATTTAGTTAGTATTCGTAGATATTTCATTGCAGTTCAATCGCAACGGATGCGACAATTATCGCCTAGCTAAATAATGGTACAATGTACAAACTTGGAAGGCTGTCTAAAAGCAGTTTATATCAGACGGAATTTGTTATCAAGACCAATAACGCAGAGCTTAATTGCTGATAGATCTACTAGTAAGCTGCTGAGGCTCTTTATTTAGATACAAAATATGCCAATGCTGCACATCTACAAATTGATGCAGACCTTGCCGGTGTGCCGGCCACTAGCAAGATATGAAAGTGCTGGGGGGGATAATTGAGGGTTCTAAAGACTACGTGAGATCAAAAGAGGATTGCGCAACTTATCGAATGTTTTGCTCGATGTTTAGTTATATTATATTATAACTCTATATATGTCCCTCACGAAAGTTCTGGTCTATAGATAGCCTAATAGCCTACACGCTGTTCTCTCTCCTCGGTGACATAGATGGTGGATCACAACATTCCCTTCGAATCTAACTTTTTGAATCAACGATATAGGATCGGGATATAATAAGCAAGGCGGAATATAGTGAACGGGCTGACCTTAGTTCGCTCGAAGAGCATTTGAGGTCACTGCAAGATGCATTACTCGTGCCGTCTATATATACACTCTATAACTTGACTCTTTTTATACGCTCTGCCTTCAACTTTGCGACGTTATCCGCAATCAATCCACTAAGCGGGAATATGTCGTAGATAAAGTGGATTCGGGCGTGAGTGGGAATGTGAAAATAAATATCTCTGGTGATATTAGAGGTTGTTGCTAGTGATCGTCCGTGTAGTAGTATATAAGTGATAGCACCTGGAAAAGGGTAGACAGAATAGATGATTAGCTGGCTGATAAGACGGTGGAGTGTACACATTGGTAGATCTATATGCACTAAGGAACTTAGCGAGAAATATGTACCGGAAGACCATTCGGCAGAGCATTCTGAGAGTGTGCTTGTTGCTGCTGTTAGCATAGTTCGAAGCCTGCTATTGTTACGTAGCATATGCTGAATGGACTAGTGAAATCCTCGTCGTAGGCGATTTTGCCCGCCGTGTGTAATGAAGGGAGCATAGGCACTACTGAAACAAATAGATCGCTGTATTTTGTCTGGTAGGTGGCAATTTCGTTGTAATTATTCGGGGTAGTATAGTAGAATAGAGACTAGAAGTAGGCTGATTGCCGGTAGGCGTCGTATAGGGACATAGAAGGACGGTAGAGGAGTTGTGGAGGGAATTCCGAGAGCTAGTGAGTGCATTGTTAAGCGAAGACGGTTTGGCAATCATCTGAATTCGTGTAGTGTTCGTAGGACGTAGGTCGGTCCGATGAATGCGAGATGTGAGGCTTGACATCTGTAACAGACTTAGACGCTCGCATCTTTGTTCGAGTCTTGGTCGGAGACGACTTTGGTAAAATTGGCTTTGCGTGTGATTGTTCTGGAGAAGCCGAAGACCTAGCTCGTCTTTCTAGATTCTCTAGTCGGCGCTTTAGCTTCTTGCCTATTAGGTCGCGGCAAGTGAGAAACATATATAAGACTGTTAAGTCAATACGGGTACTTACGGTAGTTACGCTGAGCTATGCGGTTCTGAATGCGACGGCGCTCTGCGGGATCGGAAATTTTGGACTAGTCTTCATTGGCGTGGGCGTTGGGGCTAAATGTGCTGATATTACTATGACTACGAAGAGAGCCTGAACGGTTGTCGTACTCGGTAGAGTAATGCATGGTGGAGACAGATAGAAGGGGATCGGCAGTATGAGAAGTATAAGAAGGATGAAGAGTACAGAATTGTATAGAGGCCCTCGAAATCAGTTGCACCATTTCACTAGTTTATTCTCTCGCATTTTTTGTGGGCAAACTGTACTCTGAAACAACGCTCTAGCCTTGTTATGGCCTAGCATGTGTACTCGAAATATACCGTACTGTATACAGAATACTACCAAGTGATAAATATAAGATACAGTTACCTATAGCTGTTCTGTCCCTGATCTTGTTAATTTCGAATTCCGGTATTTCAGTATTGAAACAATTTTTTTTCAGTGGTTGTTATATAGTCTAAGTATGTTATGGTATGTACCGATGAATATTTGATTGTCTTCCAACAAGAAAGCGAAATGCCAATCAAAAAGACAATACTATTCTCAACCAACCCTCATTTGTGATTATTTGAACTGAAGGTTCGTCTTTGCGGGCCCACTTCATCTTGCCCCGGCCACCCACCGCGACTCGAAGGAAAAGTGTCGATAAAATCTGATCGAAATGCTCTTCGAGGATCTCTTTGTGGGTGAATATCCAGCAAGGATTTCCGAAGTATTCTTGCCTCGGTCGAGGTCCCAAGTTAACCTCGGCTTCCAGTTAGGGAAGAATATACTCTCGTCAAGAGACGACTGATAGGCACAGTATGTGAGAGAGAGAGAGTGCGTGTGTACCATTTACCCTGACCTCTGGCAATGGAGCTGTAGCTTTGAATTGAGGTACAAGTGATAATAATTTAGACTATAAAAGAGCCAGATAGTTGTACAGTCTTTCTCAAAATCGGCTTGACCGAAACACACTGAGTAACTCTTCCCTGGCCCCGCCGCCAAGGCTTTAACGCAGTTAGTTTATTGAGCAAGCCGCATCAAGGCGAGGGCCACAGTATTATGCCATCTGTATTATGCCGCCGTATAGTACAGTGACCGTTAATTTTACTGACCAACGGCCAAATGGTAGAATGTAACTAAACATGGCAGAATATAGGACTATACTGAAGGATTTACCTCTTGCCCATCATTTTTTTAATGAAGTGTGCTCAGTATTTTGTCCGCACTAAAGCCTTGTCGGTGGGTCCAGGGAAGAGTGTGTTCCGGTCAAGCCGCTTTCGACAATGGCTGTATCCGCAGTAGCTCACCTACCTACTGCCCAGCGAAGTGGCAGCCACTGCTACAGGCCATAGGTCAATATGCATCACTCGATCTGATTACCTGGCGACAGTGGTGACGCGCGCCGCGCACGCTGTGGCCCTGAAATGAGTGGTTTAGTAAGGTAGTTATTATAGAGTGTGTAGTTGGTAGTTGGTTCATCAAGCTACATTGTATCAATGCAGAAATATATTTTTGACACAGTGTACCTCTCATGCATTCCCGGGATAAGTCTCTACGTAGTATATACTATAGGATTTCTGCAGAATTGCTTCATCGCCTACTAATTAACGATTTCTAGGCTATTCCCTAGGGTTCAAAGACCATATTTGATTCCCCAGGGTAGTTCATCTATTCCTCTTGGGGATACACCAAGCCGCACTGGGCCCGCGCATCATCCATGCGGGACATGATCGTGAGGGTGGTGTGCTGGGAGCAAGTGTCGTTCTCCAACCTCCCTGCTCTAATATCCTCCGCAACAGCATCAGCCTCGTAGTGGAAGCCCCAACCAGGAACTTTAAACTCCAATCGCTGATCCTCTTCGCCATTGAGCCGCACTACCAAGTAGTCTGGTTTGGATGTTCCAGGTCCTCCGATAGCAATGGAGCCTTTGGAGCCTATCACACAAGCAAACTCTTCTCCAGTCTTGTACAGCAAAGAAGAAGTACAAATTGCATGGGCTTTCAGATCCGGGTACTGGAGAATTACGGACGTCAGCTCATCGACTTTTTTGTCCAGGTCCATCTCGCTACCGAATATCATGCTGGCCTTGATGCTAGGGTTGGTATTGGCTAGGCGATTCGGAGACGTGTCCAGAGCCAAGGATGCCCAAGTGAGGGTATAGATGCCAATGTCCAGAAGGGCACCTGCGCCGAGGTCTCGACTTGCAGTGCGGCGGGTCAGGTCAGCCTCAGCGATGGGCATGTAGAGCCCAAAGTCGACAAAGACAGAAGCAATTTCGCCAATGACCTTGTCCTCGTGCAAGAGTGACTGAAGCTTTTTTGCAATGGGGAAGAAGCGCGTCCAAACCGCTGGATATCCTGTTAGCAGTGTCGCCTTCAGAGGAAGCCAGGTTTATTCACCTTCCATCAGGAAAACATTCTTCTCACGAGCGGCGTCAATTATCTTCTTTGCGTCCGGGGTGTTGATGGCAATAGGCTTTTCGCAGAGAACATGCTTCCCTGCAGCAATAGCATCTAGAGCATTCTGGCAGTGCATGACGTGAGGCGTGCCAATGTAGACAATATCGACGTTGGTGTCGTTGTAGACCGCATCATACGAATCATAAACGGCAGGTTGTTGCGAAGGGCAATGGCTGGAAACAAACGCCGACCCTTTCTCTGTGGAAGAAGACCCAACAGCCTGGACGATGTGTCTCGTGGTGGCATCCAGTCGCTCCAGACACAGATCAGAGACGAACCATGAAGAGATTAAGCCGCATCCTGACCAGGTAGAGAGATCCATTAGCCATGCGACCCTGGAGGTGTGCGCAGTTTTCAGGTGACTAGCATACCGACAATACCCCATCGGAGAACAGGGAGTTCTTCCTTTCCAAGCATGTTGTTGGTGCTGCAATACAGAAGCCACAAAAGTCGGACTTGCGTACGGCCTACTTATACTCTAGGTTTGGACAGGTTTTATAAAGAATAGAGGCGGTAGATGGGGCCTTTCGTACATGATAGCCCGATAATGACTGGATCGAACGGGCGTTGTCCGAGACTCCGCGGGCACGCCCTAGGTGGGGCTCTGCGAAAAGGCGCGACAACCACGCAACTATCAGCTCGAAGACTCTATGTATTACAGTAAGCCGGTGGTGTCATGAGTGGTGATGGTCAAATGACAACGTCAAGGAAGTGTATCGCATTTTCGGGGTTCAAGAGAAAACATGTTCATAATTTAGCGATGCCCTAGAACCGAGCTTTGATACCAACTAGAGATGCTATTATCACAGCTTGTTTTGCCTAATGTCCTACACCATATCCGTGACGCATCGCCATCGCAAAAATCTCAATATCCTGCAAAGCATCTTCTACTGTTGTCTTCGGCTGCTTTCCGTCCACAACCATTTCCCAAAGCGTTTTCAGCTCTAGAGTATACGGATCCTCATAAGACTTCCGAATAGTGGTTTCCTTATAAACTCCGTCTGCGTTTTCAGCAATGTGCATAGTCACGGGCAGGCCTTTGACGTATGGCGTATCGTATTGGACCTTGACCGTCCTGTCGGTGCCGTATACTTCCAGATGGGCATCGAAGCGAGGAACATTGTCAATTCCCGACTCGTATGATACTGTAAAGTTTCGGTATTTATACAGGACGCTATACAGGGTGTTCTCGTTAGCATTGTTTTTCTCGATCAGGTCCGTAGCCAGGGAGACGTACTTCCAGAAGGGAAACCCAAGAGAAGAACCGACGACCTTTTCAGGCATTCCGAGAGCTTCCCTCATAAGTGACAGGTCATGAGAACCGAGACCACCAAAGATGCGCCACATGAGAGTTGATTCAGGAGATTGATGAACGCCGCATTCGTCTTTGAGGGCAGTCTCCGCCATCTCTTTCGCTCGTGAGTCCTTGTCTGCGGTGTCTGCAGCAGAAAAGTCGGCAACCTTTTTGGGGAAAGTCCCAGATTGATTCACAAAGTGAGAGTTGGGTCCGATGATGTCTGTAGATTTGTCAGTCTCTGCCAACGGCCTATGATGTTATCTGGTTACAACTCACCTCGCACTCGCGCGTACAGGATCTTGTCCATGCCTCCAATTTCCCGGACTGCATCCTCAAACGGCGCAGCATATCGCCTCATATACGCAACCATGGCTCTACCCCTGCTGCGCTTCTCAACCTCTGCGATAGCCAGGGCATCTCGCCTCGTGAGTGCTACAGGTTTCTCCACCAGAACGTGCTTATCATGTTCAAGAGCCAAGATGGCGTGGGAAGCGTGATACTCGTCCGAGCTAACTACCACCACAACATCGACTTGATCAGACTTACAAAGCTCGGTAGGGTTGCTGGTGGTCGCCGGGACGTTGTTGAGCTTGGCCGCGCAGTGCTCGAGTGAAGCTGGAGAGATGTCACATAGATAGGTGATTCGAAACCAGTCGCTCATGAGGGATAACGTGGGAATGTAGACAACCTGGGCGACCTCGCCGCAGCCGAGGAGTCCAATGTTAACGACTCTGCTTGGGGTTGACGCGGGCATGGTGAGAGTTTGCATGACACGATGAGGATGAGAACGCGGATGGTTTCAAGGGGTAAAGGCCGATGATTTTAAAGGGCTTTAAAATAGAGCAGAGCGAGTGTTACTCTACGTTGATCAAGCTCGTGCCTGTCCCGGCCAATTTTGAGCGGCACGGGGAGGATGTGGTATGTGCTGGTGCTTCTGGTACCGTCGCAAGGAGCCGCACAGACTACAGCTTTGAGGACAACTAGGATGAACTCCGGCACTCCCCGACGACTCCACCAGCTCAATTTGTCCGAGACTCCGCGAGCCCCACAACCCCACAACGTCCCATCCCCAGAGGCCTCTCATCATATCAAGCCCGGGTCTCCGCGTGAATAATCTCTTTTCGCATGTCTTGTTCTTTCACACATCCACAATGTCGCATTGCTTCCAGCCTTCGGCCGTTCCCTCGCAATCCTATCCAACCTGCCAACGTGTACACGATCCCACGTCGACAGGGGGCTCCCACATCCTGATTCAAGTCCGGGGAAATGCAAGGAGGGATATACGACTAACCCCGTCTCCGGAGACTCCGCGCTGACAACGTCACGGAAGCGTAAGTGGCCTGGCGGCTCGAGAGTTATGGGGACCTACCCAAGGATGCGGGCTCTCACCGCATGCCAGCTATGTCGCTCGAAAAAGGTCAAGTGCAACAACGCGCGTCCTTCATGTAGTAATTGTGAGAAATCAAAGGCTGCATGCGTTTACGGGGACTCTCAGGATATCTCTTCGTACGTGTCATTACTTCTCACCCAGAAAAAGAAGTACTAGTTGACTAACCTATCGTAGCTTCGACTCCGCGAGCCTTCTGATCTTGGACAAGCTAAACCACGTCCTTTCTCGGTTGGATGATATTCAAGTTCCCGTCACTAGACTTGCTTCATTGATGAGCCCGGTCGGCGGCCCCGATATCACAGCAACAGAAGCGGATAGAACGCCAACGCAGATTGACACGCGCGACCATGAAACCCATGGGCAAGACCAAGACTCAGACCAACTCCACATACCGTCTTCGAGGGCCAACGTAGATGCTGTTCTCCAGTGGCCCATCTTCGGTACCCTGTTTCCGCCCAGCTACATCACGGACGCCGTTTTCGGGTTGGAGTGCTGCGATGAGGCTCAAGAACTTGAAGGTACGTCTCGAGGCTCAAACAAGCGACTTGCCATGAAGACATCATCCCTCGGCATTGATGAAGATGAGATTATCGATCTGGTACAAGCATTTCTTGAGCTTGTACACATCAAGAATCCCATCTTAGACGTTGGAATGCTCTGCTCTTACGCTCGCAGTGTTGTCGAGGATGGGCTGAAATGGGACTCAGCTTCGTGCCTCGTGGTGAGTTGACGCAAATCGACCCCAGTTCGATGCTTACTCGACCTAGCTTCTTGCGTGTGCGCTCGGCAGAGTGGCGACTCGGTTTGCGCCCGCACATGTAGACGAGACGGAAACACAACCGACATCGCTCGACGCGCAAGCCCAGGATCTCCGCCAAGGCGAGGCATACTATAACTTAGCTCGAAGAAGGTTTGGTCTTCTAGAGACAGGGATTCTCTCCTCACAGTGTCACTTCTTAGCCGGCGTGTACAACATGTACATCATGCGACCGTTGACCGCATGGTCACAGTTCCAGTCAGCGACCAAGTCCTACTGGCTTTACCTGCAGTGCCAGGCGAAACAGCTTCCTCGGCAGATAGTGGGCTCGACCGAGGCTTCCAAACGACGAAGTATGGAGCAGAGATTGTACTGGAGCTGCTACAAAACCGAGTGCGAACTGCGAGCCGAGATCAGCCTCCCGAATAGTTCCTTAGCGGATATCCACTATTCCGACATGCATCCTTCGCCCCCAGATATAGACGATGACGGAGTCATCGCTGAGTTTGGGTCATCCCCTCAAGGAAGACCTAGTTGGTCGAGATCGGCCATTCGCACGACTTTCGGGTCGCGTCAACAACATGAGCAGACCTGGTACTACTACTTGACTGAGATAACGCTGCGCCGCATAGCCAACCGCGTGCTCAACTTTTTCTATGCGGGGGATTATAGCGATTGGACAAGAGACTCGGTGCCTTTCCTGGTTAAAGCTGCCGAGCAGTTCGAGCAGCAGCTGGAGGAATGGTACGCGGGTCTTCCGCCTCTCATCCAATTCCGCGACGATTCGCCTCCAATAGAAGAGCTACCGTATCACGTCCGAGACCGCGTACTCGAAATCAAGACCTGGATCTACGCGCCTTTCTTGCACTACGCCATTCATTCACTACCTGGAGCGCCCTACCGAGATATTATCCAGCCGTTTGTCGAGAAGTCAGTAGCATACAGTTTCTATATGATGCGGGATAAGCCAAACCGAAATCGCCATCACGGAAGCTGGTACATGATCCGCAGTATCACGTCGTCATGTTTGTTCATCCTCGCCGCGATTCGGTGCGGTACCATCCCTGTGCCTGGGGAATGGAGACTGGAAATACGGGCAGCTATCATCAGGATGCAGTACTGGGCGGCAGAAGGACCAGGCATTCCTCGTGCTATCGAAGTGCTTGAGACCTACCTGAAAGATGCTTGAGGCTATTCCTGCTCTGGTGGCTTGGCTCTTTCGTTGCAAGCTGTTGGTAGTAGGTAGATTTTTGCAACAGAATACGTAAGTAGTGAGCCCCTAGATATGCAAGCAATCCTGTCCATGGTATGAAAGTGTGATCCAAAGGGTAGATGGGGCATGCCCTTCAAAGTCTAGAAAGTGAGTGGACTAAATACATCGGAGGGCAGCAACGGGAGTGGCCCCACGTACCGCAAAGGCGCCGAACAGGTCAAGACGGGCCGCACGTGATTGTGGCCTCAGGCACAAAAGCTGTGTCACGATTTGTCCTGTATCCGGCCAATTGGAGATGTAAATGACTCTGTATTTCCATTACCCCTATTTCTCACTATTTATGGGTCCATTCTAGTTACATAAGCTATGCCGACGGATCATCTATAGACCCGGTTTCATGCAGTATTCGTAAGGTAATCGCGACAGAGGTCCTTAGCCTGCAGCTTACATCAGATAGTCAACCAATATTTGATTATTTGTTACACGGTGTGTGGTTCTTGAGCACTACTGTAGTTTTAGCTTTCCTAAGCATAATCTTCATCATCCTCCTTTTTCGAACGTAGGCCTCCGTAGCCGTAGGCCTCACGCGTGTGATCAAACTTGGCAAGGAAAGCGTTTCTTATCTTTGACGGGAATCGAGATTCAAGCTTGCAAAACAGTAAGTACTACCAGTTGATTTCAAATGGAAATAGATATCGTAAAATATACGGAAATATTTTATCGTAAATACGCGGCCTTGTCGATTACTTCTTCCCTTTTTCGAATATATCGACCTCCTGGGTATTATTTTCTGTAACCGGGATAATTGCCTCGCAGGATCCAATCTGGCCGTGCCATTCCTTCGATTTCCATGCCGGGACACCAGTATCAAAAAGCAGATCGGTCTATAAGCCAGTCAGAACCAGGAGTGGCAAAACTTAAAGAGATGATGCTCATGCTCATGCTCGTCCTTATGGTCTAACTTACCTCAGCAACAGAGAGCCCAGAGAGCTCTGGCACGTAAGAGTATGCCCAGACAACTGAAATGACTATCATGGCAAACCAAATGTAGCAAACATTGATTCCAAGATCTGCAGCAGTCTCATCCACTAGGTAGGGTGTCACAAACCCAATTGTCCAAGTAGCTAGCCAATAGACAAGCATCGTAAGAGTTGATTGATAGAGTCGCAGGCGCTGAGAGTACGGCTCCGTCATAACCACCCAACCTTCATATTGTCAGTCAAGTTTGATAAATAATCACATTGGTGGGGATAGATGTCTATTTTCCATACCCACAGTGCCCCAAGTTGTAGCGTAAGCCGCAATGAAAATGACAGCACCAATAACCAAAGCGATATGATCACTGGCGCTGCCCGGGGAGACTGAATTAATGACTGCGGGGACCAGCATTGTCACACCCATGATCACGGCTCCCCACAACAAACATGTGCGTCGGCCAACTTTTTCGACCAAGATTGTCGATACAGCTGTGAATATGGCGTTCACCAACGCGAGTACCAGCGAAATCAAATACGAGTTACTAACTCCAGCTTCTTGAAAAAATGTCGTTCCATAACCAAACCAAAATGTAATGCCAGTTGCTATGGTTAAAATTGCCATGCACATGCCAAGCAACTGACGACGCAGGTTCGGCCCTTGAAAGCATTCAATGAGTCGAACACTTTCATATGTGCTTTGTTCTGCTGCCCAATCAGTAATTTCCTCGTACACTTGCTGCATTTCATCCGACGCTATGCCGATATTGCGAAGAGCGGCAATGGACTTGCGAGCCTTCTCGGGCTTGCCCTTCTTCATCAACAAGACAGGCGACTCCGGGGCGATGATTGCGCCGCCGAAGACGACCAAAGCAAGGAAGAGCTGAAAAGCGATGGTGATTCCTAGGTCAAATAAAGCAGTCAGTACTTGAGAAGCTGACGATTTTGCTGCTTGGCTGTATACGACTACTCACGCCAAGTATTAGCACCAGAAAGCTTGCTGGTTCCAAGACTAATACCACAAGCCAACACATTCCCACAGGTGAGAAGAAGACTGTAGAACGATACCAGTCGACCTCTTGTGTTGGCCTTCGAGGATTCAACCAAGTACATAGGAGACTATAATATATTTCACTCTAGGTTAGTGGTTTCTATTGTTTACTTTGACAGCTTCGGGTGAGCTTTGCTTACCACCACTGAGATTATGCCAAGTGCTGCCCCTAGGAATGCACGACCAATGGCAAACACTGCTGGCGGCGGAGCAATGATTTGCAGCACGACGCCAATGGTATAGACCACTGCTGCGAGCATCAAGCTGCCCTTCCGTCCGACTATAGGTCACATGTGAGCAAGGCTGGGAAGGAATGGGAGAAGCAACTTGGTTGAGCAAAACCTTACTTCGATCAGCTGCGATGGATGCCAGGGCCGACCCAAGCATCGTTCCCACGACTAAAATGGAAGTAAATAGTGATCGAGTGTGAGGCTGCAGATATGTCTCTCTAGTTGAAGGGTTTGTGATTCCGTATCTTTTGATAAAGTCCTCTGAGCCCAAGACACCATTCAAGTATCCGGAGTCATATCCAATAAGCGCTCCTTTGGGGGTTTGTCAGCAATGTCGGTAATTCTACGTGTGAAAGACAGACCTGATGCAAAGATCATTCCGTATATGATGCATTGTCCAAATGATACCATTTTGGTAATTGATGATGTAAGTCTAATAATATTTCAAGAAACTCCGCGACTGTGTCGGGGGCTGCTTTAAATAATTAGAGACAAACTGAAATGGAAGCACTGATACCATGATGTTACAGGTATGGACTAATATATCTCAATTTCTAACCCTGGAGATAGGCAATAGCCCCAGGAGATGAGTCAGTTTCGATTATGGATATCTATGTGTGGCGCTTTGATTGGAAGATAGGAAATCACGTATATTATCTATCGGACGATGAAGTCCGTTCTAACATGATGAACATTCTCTTAATCTCTGATCGATTTCCTATCCGCTGTTACCATACTCAATTAGGTTAACCCACGGACCCCCTAGGGTCTGTGGGCCTTCTCTGGGGCTTTAAATGATCGTGGTTTCATATATTGTTAATATTCATCGTGCCGCAGGGTGTGTGTTTCAGTAAGGCAAAGCATAGGATAGTACAAGAAAAATACTAGGGGCAGGAACAGATTCAGAAAAGGGTGAATTGCTCTTTAATCTTCATTATTCCGTATATTATTAATTTTGAATCTTTACTCCACCCAAACTTTTGACTGATATAATTAAGCGGTATAGTTGATGCGCTAAAATACAAGATATTTTAATTATTGGTCCAGATGACGCTGTGATAAGCGTATTCAAATGTTGGGAATTCATATTCCGTGAGATCATACACAAATCGCGATTTGGCCTATGATAAGTTCGGGAAGTCACATTCCGCTACGCGCTATCGAGATAACATCTTCGAATCCCGCTAACATTTTCGAATCAGTCGGAATGTTCTGGTTAAAAAATATTCTGAATTTTTTTTGCAATTTCTTGATGTAGCAAAATAGTTTCTGCATGCCTGTACAGATTTTCGATAATTATTGTACGTCTATGGGGCTTTTCCAACATCATCCAATAAAAGCCGCTGCCTGCTAATGCTCTTTACCTACGCTCCACAAACCAGTTTGTTCACAGTTCCCAAGGCTTTCTGCTCCGAGTCTTCATTTATTAACGATATGTTCAATAGGATATTGGTGGCGGAAAAGGATCTCGGAGATCTTTAATACTCTGTTCGACTGAGCACAGATGTTCTATTCAAAAATGGCAATAGCCGCCGTGAAAAATGTCTGATCGTTCTTGCCTCGGACAAAGAAATCGAAAAAAGAGTCAAAGATGAGACTATCTCTGATTGTACGTCTTCGCCAGGTCTAGCAATTTCTTGCTGTCAGTTCGTTGATGGGTCGTACATGATTCCGAACGAGCAGATACCAACGATGCAGCGGGCGATAGTTACTCTTGAGACGAAGAAGACTCTTAACCAGACCAATCAAACAATTGCGGTGCAAGATCCGTCTCATGGTGAAGTTGTCGTCCGTATACTGTATACCGGTATATGTTGCAGCGTAAGCAATGATTCTTTCCCAATGTCGTATGAAAAGCAGCTAAAACAGTCTATCCCCTTTAGGATGCATCCTTTTCAGTTACATCAGAACCTCAAGCTCACCAATTAAACCACATTGCGGGCCATGAAGGCATTGGCTAAGTCATCAAGTCATATGCACCTTCAACCCTTGGGAAACGCGTCGGGATTCGCTACCTAGGGTCATCATGTGGGACGTGCACATATTGTCTTCGCAGATTACCAACATCATGTCCATTGAAACTGAATACGCCAATTCACCATGCGGGGACTTTCCAAGAATATGTCACCATTCCAGCATCCTGCCTCATCTCTCTACCGGCCGGACTCCTGGATGGAGGGATTGATCCTGCTCTTTATGCTAGTGCATTTGCTCTGGCTCAACGAGCCTCACGTCATTGCGTGCGGCAAATGTAAACCCTGGAGGTGTAGTCATCATCACTGGTATCGCGGGTGCTATCGGTCATCTCACTGGTGCCATTGCTAAAAATGTCTCTCAAGCAAAGGTCTTTGGTATTGATCTAGCATCAAAAATAAGCGCTCTACCCCGGGACTGGGATGAGTACAGCGATATCCGACCAAGTACACCCGAGGTCAATCACGGCGCAGATTGGTCAGCCTTCCAGTCTGCTTTGCTCGCGACTTGTGACAAGCTTCAAGATGAGCGTGGCTTGAAACATGCAGCCGAGGCCGTGATAGTTATCAGCAGTTCGTTTTCCTCTTTCCATCGACTGGATGAATATGTACGCGACGGTGGAAGGATCGTGTGTGTTGAGTTAGTATCCGTGCATATCTTCTTTATACCCAGACTGGAGTTTCTAATCACTATTTCGTAGGGTGCCGAAAGGCGAAGATTTACTACAAATTGCACTTCGGACGGTTGTGGAACGAAACTTGTACCTGTCCGGAAATCTGATGGGTGGGCTCAAGGGCAGGAATATCAGCTCATAGTTTATTACTGGCACGCTTTCTCAGCTTTAGACCCATCAATATTGCCAATAATTTCCCTCGAAGTATCAGGAGGGAACACATGACTGTGAGTGGACAAGAACAGTCTAGTCTCTACTCTTGTCAAACCGTCTTCAAAATCTATTTGCCGTTCTCTTTGACAAATCCTCGATATAAGAAACCAGGTCCTCATCTGTCATATCTATCCTTCGAAACATGCCTGGCCCTGTTGTCGCTACTGCGCGGTGGAGACCACCTCGCATATCTGGGTTTCTGACATTTTCTTCGACGCTTCATACGCATCATAATGAGCAAGACAAGTGCGCTATATTGAAATGCCGAAATATCAATGGCTGTCCACTTTCAGGGAAATGATCATTTGCGCGAAGCAGTATTTTCAGACAATACAGCTAGCGTTCCGGATAAGACTACGTAAGTTGTTTGAAACGTGGCAACGTACCTGTGAGAGTTGTTGAATCATTATAATAATGTAGGTGGCAGAGATAACGGTGGTTCTAGGGCTGGGTGGTTCCAAATTCAATTGCGCAAGGGCTGTGATTGATCCTATTCTCGAGCAAGGTTTGCCTCGGTAATGGCGAAAAGATCGGTGAGCTCCGACTCTCACATCGTAATAGTGGAAGCGGGAAGTTGGCACGGCTCAGACATGCGGATTTAAATAAAAGAAATGGATACGCACTTGTGACGTCAATATTTCCACATACTAGGCGGAATTAACAAAATACCTTATGGGCCAGCCAGACGTTTGAACTGTTGCCATCGATGGTGTTAGAAAGGCCTTCGGTCTAAATGTATTCACAAGGACTGGTGTTGACAATATTTTTCATTCTATCAACAGAAAGGGCATGAATACTGTACCTCAAAGACTTCTGTGGAACAAATAGCGAACGAAGTCACTGGTCCCGAGTCGTCCAGTATCAATGACTCACTCAAAGTACCGTTTCTTCGAGCCAGTCGCTGCACTCCAAGAGGAAAGGAAAGTTTCGAAAGTTAGTCGCGACCAATACTGTGAAGCTCGAAAATTCGCCTTCAGATATTCATACTTTCAATGCCCTCAACCGTTGCATTTTAGCTTCCCCGGTCAGAATTTTTTTCTTTTTTTTTTTTTTTCACCAGGGGCGGCCCCAAGGGGAGAGCTTGAAAAAGACCATATTAAGATTCAATCAGGAAACCTATGTGGGTTTCTACTATTCAATACCTCCTACATTCTATTAAGAGAGCTGCGCACTGTGGTGCTTAGTTCTTCTTTTAGTTCAGTGAATTCTTCAGAAGCGGCTGCGTCTTTCCGTAAACCTTGTAATGTTGTTCGATTTTTAAAGTCGCCCTCTTACTGTGGTACATGCGCCACAACCTCAATCTCAACCCGCATATCATCCTCACCCAACCTCGTAACCCCAACACACGTCCAAATCGGCTGATGATCAGGCATATACTTTTTGAAATTCTGCACCATCGCATCCATCGCCTCGTTGTTGATCGGCACATGGTACGAATTCACTCGGAATACCTGCGACCAACCCTTGCCTCCGGCGTCCTTCAAATTGCGCTCGACATTGGCAAAGGCTAGGTCGATCTGGGCATTGATTTCTTTCTCAAAGACCCCTGTTGTTGGGTCCCAGCCGCCTGTAGATATTTCAATCAGTATGATGCGTAAGGTAAGTAAGAACGCGTTCGCGCGCGGAAGCAGTAGCTGTGGAGCTTTATAGTATATATCATTGCAAAGCATCACAGGCGCCCGGTATGCGGTTGGTTTGTAATTTTTGTTCGAGTTTTTCTTACCTTGTCCGGCGCATTCAATGCGGTCTCCAATCCGCACCGCTTGGCTGTAGTGGAAGGTCTTTTGTTTCTCGACGCCGGCAGCCGGGTAGGCATAGTATGTTAGGTGCGACATGGTGCGAGGGTGAACAAGTAAGTCCAGGTAGCAGTTCGTGGACGTAAGGGACAGATTAAGTGAGTAAATACGAAGATAGATATTGCAGGAGTCTAGTTTATATACTTTGGAAAGGGCAGTTGGTCCAGTGGAGGGAGCGGAATGTGATTTCCGCTCGAGTGACTAATGGACCCACCCTGGATCAAGGCTCAATCACTTTCACAATCCCCTCCCTGTCTCCTTCCCACAAATTCGCCTTGATGAATGAAGCAAGAAACAAGAACGGACTCCTGATGGACTTTCCCGTAAAAACACCCATCCGCAAGGGCTCCGCGCGGCGAAAAAGCCCACGAGCCATTCGATCGCCCTACACGACCGAAGCCTGCCAGGAGTGTCGGCGACGAAGAGCGAAGGTAAAATCTCACATCATCTTTTCTTTATATATTGGCTTGCCTGTATTTTCTGGCCAACGGCATCTATTTACGTAGTGTGACGGGACGAAACCCTCGTGCGGACGCTGTCTGCGCCACGGCATCGACTGCAAGTTCACGGGCAGAGACGACAGCCGTGGCACGGCGCCCAAGTCGCTCGTGATGCTGCTGCAGAGTCGGATTGACCTGCTGGAGCAAGTCCTCTGGCTGCATTCGATCGATGTCGATGCGACCATTGCTCAGCTTAGAGCGCGGGGTGACTTTGGATCGGGCACGTCTTTACCAGCACAACCGTCACCGCAGATTACGGAGCCCGATGGGGCTCTCTGCTCCAAGGGGTCGTTTGGGGTCGGGGACGATGGAGAGGTGAGCTATTTTGGGTCTAGTAGTGGGCGTGTAGAACTCCTGCACTCGAATGCTGGTATGTTTAACCTATTCACGGACGTCTGCTATGTGGTTGCTGCTTTTGTGCTGAGAAACGATAGCGGACACTGATCATGTAGCACCGACCTCGCTTCCTCCAGTCGGTTCTCGCCTCAACCAGTTCTGTCAAGAGATCCAATCGGGATGTGATATTTCCGAGGACTTGAAAGAACATCTGATCGCAATCTACTTCGAGTGGGAGCAACCCTGGTGTCAACTCGTGGATGAGTCACTCTTCCGGGAGAGCATGCAAAGCAAAGGCCGCTACTTCAGCCCGCTTCTGCTCAACAGTATCCTGGCCATTGGCTCTCGCTACTCGGATAGACCCGAAGTGCGCTCCGTGCGCGATGATCCCAACACAGCTGGTCAGGCGTTCCTCGAGATCGCCGAGGTCCTCCTTCATTTCGATCTCCAGTCCCCGAGCATCACAACCATCCAATCGCTGGGTATCCTCGCTATAATGTATGTGGTGAGTGACTCTTTGTCGGTATCGTTAACATGATAGTAGCTAAGATTGGTGGGTTCTCTAGGCAACCGGATCGGATTCAAAGGGCTGGCTCAAGCATGGAATGGCTGTCCGTTTAGCTTTAGACATGGGCCTGAACCTGAATAGTGCGACATTGCACAAGTCCCACGTGTTTTCGGAGGTGGAGATAGAGCTTCGAAAGCAGATTTATTGGGCGCTCTTCTGCACTGACAAGATGTGGGCGAGCTATACTGGGAGAGTGTGTACTATGCTCGTAAGTCAAGGCTTCCGGTATCTCTCGCTATGCACACGACTAACGGGTTGTTTATTCTAGGACTCTCAAGCGTTGGTTCAGTTGCCTCTGCCCAGTGGCACTGGGCAGGAGCCTACGAGTCCTAGGGAAGCCCTTCGATCACTTCATCACGCCCTATCAACGCAATGTCAGATTCTCGAGAAGATCCTTACAAGTCTGTATGTTCAACCAGATACTTGCATTGGAGGTGATGCTCCCTGCTTTATGTTGTGCCAGCTAACCCACGGGTCTGCTTAGCTATGCCCCAAAAAGTCTGTCACCAGGGGTTCAACGTCACACCTTCTTCGACCAATGCCTTTTAGAGTTGAAAAGCTGGAAATACCGACTTCCCGTGGAATTGCAGATCAAACTATCCGCGGGCAGCGATGCTCGCACTCACACTCACACTCGGCCATATACCTTCATCCTTCATATGGTGTACCACACGTCCCTGATCATGCTAACCAAGCCCTTTCTGGCCCGGAAGCAACGCCCAAGCCGTGAAACACCATCAACAGGGGGGCTAAGCAAGGACCAGGGCCAGGATCAATCAGACCCGACGGCCGAGAGAGCGATGACACTGTGCATGGACGCGGCACGGGAGATTAGCCTTCTAGGCGAGCAGTACCGCAAGGCTTTTGGCAGTTTCCGGCAGACCCCCGTCACCGCTACGCATTGTACGCTGTCCGCAGTGCTTTTCTTCATTTTTAGTTTAAATAATTGTGTGAGCAACGAGATGGATGATGGCGGCGAAGCCAGGTCGCAAAAGGCGATTGCTAAGGCCATCAATTCATGTGTAGTCACTTTGGGTGAGCTGGCGAGCTCGTGGTCGCCTGCTCGTCGGTATTGGAAGGCGGTTCTGGCCATCCTCGAGCACCGACACGTGCGCAGCAAAGCGGATAGCAGTTCTCAGCCTGCATCGTCGACGCCTGGCTGCTCCGCCGCTGCGCCGGACGCAGACCTCGAGGGAATCAGTGGGTCTTTTTGGGACAGTGTACTGGGAGGAGAGAATTATGCCGGCAGCTTTCACGACGTTGGTATGTGGCAAGGCACAGCGAACTACGATTCTCTAGGGGCAGAAGGTGAGACCCTGTTTGATGGGCTCATGTTGGGCTTTCCCTACGGCTTCGAGCCGTTCCCAGGGTTTTCACCCGAACAACACGAATTATAAACATGGAGGGACCCAATCTTCGTTCTATTCGAAAATGCTGGACGGCTGAGATATTGTGACCGGAAAGGATGGCCCCTGACAACCAAAGGGTATATTTTCACATACAAACCACAACCTTGCCCACTGTCTGATAATCCATCATTGCTTGCAAGCGCTCTGGAACTCCTTCCAGCCGTACTTTACTGACGCGGGGGGTGATACGATTGGTCCGGATGTATTCCATTACCTCTAATGCCGCGTCATGACTACCCATGAGATTTCCGGACAAGTGCAGGTTTCGTTCGACAAGACAATGAAGCGGAAGAGAGACCCTGTTCAGCCCTTTCGGCACCCTGCGGAATAGACATGTCAGGAAGAGAGAACATAACCCATCGTAGGAATATAAAAGGAGAAGAAAAACAAACCCGGCGCAGACAATGGTGCCTCCATCGCGGACGTATTCATCGAGCTTCTGGAACGCCTCGATGGAGCTACTCGTCACAATCACGCACTCGGCTGCTCTCTTCACACCCCCACCACGTTGCTCTCCACGGAGTTGCGCGCAAGCATTCAGCACCGCCGCGTGGAACTCCTCCCAGGCGTTGCCCTGGTGAGACTTGGGAGCCCCAAGAAGGATATCGCAGTAGTCATGGGAGTCCTGAGGTGAAGCCCTGTCTACTTTGGCTGGGAGGTCCACACCGATCACTTTTGCGCCCAGAATCTTTTTCGCTATCATCCCCACTAGATGCCCGATGGCTCCCATTACGCCGACTACGACCACGATGCTCCCAGCACCGAGCGAAGCAGCTCGAAGAGACGTGAGAGCCGTTGACCCGGAGCAGAGCGCAGCGGCGTAGAGGGCGGTATCGACCCTCCCGTCGGTGATATTCTCTGGTAATGGCACAAGCACACAGCTCGGAACCGTGAGGTACTCCTGGAACGTGCCGGGGACTTGCTTGGGGGTGTTAAGCTGGGATGGACACGAGGTAGGCAAGTCGTGCAGGCAATAGGTGCACGAGCCGCAGCTCCAGGCGAGATATCGAATGCCGTATAGACGGTTGGTGGACGGCGCGAGGGTCGGTTCGTGCGACTTGACAATATGCCCGATCCCTTCGTGGCCGGCAATATGGTTGTACTTGGGGTAGCCCGGTTGTGGCCCGACGGAGAACATGGAATCCTGAACACGGAGTCAAATACGGAAGAACGTCGTCATGTTTTGCCAACTTACGCTGCAGCAGATTCCCGAGTATGAAATGCGAATGACAACCTCGCTTGGGCCAGGTTCTCGCACGGATATCGTTTCAAGCGACATATTTAGTGTTTTGCCCACCTCGCGAGTGACGACTGCCCTTTGTGTTGCAGGAACTGCCATCATAGGAGACAATGATGATTTAGATTCTTGACAAGATCCATGGTCACTTTGAACGCGACTATCCAGCTCGAGAGTCAAGAAGTTCGTATCTTTGGCTTTGCCTTCAGGAATTAGCGGAAGGACCAAGCCATATGCGAAGTCCATGGTATAGGCCGCAGAGGAAAACGCGAGTCGATGGCGCCAGTACAGCTAGGAGGTATATTTGATGCCACATCCTTACTTTGTATCTCGTAAACAAAGGGAAAAGGAAATATCATGGCCAAGACTTGAAATCTACGCTAGTATCATTGACCATCCTAGCGGAATGTGGATTCCTCCAGTCAAAGGAACGTGAATTCCGCCTTTAGACCGTGGGGCTGGCCATGATTTTGTCAGTCTCAAGGCTGTCTAATTTACATTGCAATCATCGCAACAGAGTTAGGGCATCGACACACACCATGGCAGAACCGGATACAGGATCGCTATTGGCAAGTTTGACGCTGGATGAAAAATGCCAGCTCATTGCCGGCCGATCGCAATGGCGAACAGCGGCTATTGAGAGACTTGGCATACCCTCCTTGAAGGTGAGATACGAAATGCTGAACAGAGTTTGTCACGATAACTGAACGCCAAAGGTGACCGATGGGCCGTCGGGCGCTCGAGGCGAGATTTTTGGAGAGAATGTTCCTGCTGCCTTTCTACCAGCAGGCGTGAGTCTGGGGGCGACCTGGGATGAGAAACTCCTTTATGAGATCGGACAGTTACTCGGGGAGGAGGTGAGTCGAGTTAGATGTGTGATGTTATCTCGTTCTGACGGAACCGCAGTGCAAATCCAAGTCCGCGTCTGTCCTGCTTGCGCCCACGATTTGCATCCAGCGGCACCCACTCGGTGGGCGCAACTTTGAAGCTTTTAGCGAGGATCCGTATCTCACAGGCAAGCTGGGTATTGCCTACGTTCGAGGAATTCAGTCCCGCGGTGTTGGGGCCACGCCAAAACACTTTGTTGGTAAGCTCCTTCCTCTACGTTTACTCTATGTTTCATCCCCAATGCTAACGGCATGTAGCCAACGACCAAGAGACCAAGCGATTCAAATACAATGTCAACGTTCCCCCCCGCGCCCTGCGCGAGGTCTACTTGTTGCCGTTCCAGATGGTCGTCCGTGACGCGGATCCCTGGTGCATGATGACGGCATACAACAAGGTCAATGGGCACTACTGCGATGCATCGAAGGAACTGCTCATTGATATCGCTCGGGGCGAGTGGCGCTGGGACGGGGTCTTTATGAGCGACTGGGGAGGCACAACATCGACAGTCGAGTCGATCAACAACGGGCTGGACCTCGAAATGCCTGGGCCGCCTTCCAAGCGATCGAAGGAGGCGCTCGAGAAACCCATCCATAATGGGACTGTTAACTTACATCGGGTCACGGAGTCCGCAGGCCGCATCCTGCGCCTCCTCGAGAAAGCCGGCCGGTTTGCCGATCCCCGAGATGACCCTGAGCGGTGCGAGGACACGTCTGAGAAGAGAGCCCTGCTTCGCCGAGCGGCGGCCGGGGGAATTGTTATGTTGAAGAACGAAGCAGGAGCCCTCCCTCTGAAACCTTCTGAGAACATCCGCAAGCTAGGCATTTTCGGTCCAATTGCCGCGCGCGTCGTTGCTGGTGGAGGTGGAAGTTCGTACATCAAGGCCCCTTACTGGACGTCTGTCTACGACTCGATAAGGGCGGAGTTTAGCAGTACCGCGACGGAGATTGTCTTTGCAGAAGGAGCGAAGGTTAACCGGTACCTTCCTGTTTGCCAAGTGGCGACGAACCCGGATACAGGCAAGTCAGGCGCGGCCATCGACTGGTACAACGGGAATGACCTGACGGTTCAGCCTGCGTTAACAACCCACACGTGAGTGTCGCTTTCTGTATCGCACTGTTACGCTTTCTAATACATCTTGCCAGTGACGATTTGTATTACATGTCGTTCGGAACCGTTCCACCTGAAGTTCAGGAGGGCTTCTCATTCCGGGTCCGTGCATCAATCAGACCTCGTACATCAGGACATCACAACTTGTCTCTGGCCTCAATTGGGCCGGCAAAGATGTATGTCGATGGAGCCATGCTAATCGAACAATCCGGCGCCTTTGAGGAAAAAGGAAGCCTCTTCTTCACGTATGGCAGTGAGGAAAAGGTGACATCAATGGATTTTTCAGCCGGTAGACAATATGGCATCCGAATCGACTACCATTCTCACAATCGCCAGTTCACGCCGGACGTCCAGCCCTTGCTAGATCCCATGGAAGACCAGTTTCAGGGTATACGCTTTGGCTTCGAGGAAGCGGACGTCGCCGACCTACCCTCTGGGGCGGCCGGAGTAGCTGCGGACTGTGACGCCGCGATTATCGTCGTTGGGCGCGACAAGGAGTGGGAGACCGAAGGGCAAGATATTTTGTCGTTCAACCTGCCGGGCGACCAAGTCCGTCTAATCCGGCGCGTCGCAGCGGTGTGCCCGCGAACCATCGTACTGGTACAAGCTGGAACACCCATTAACATGGAGCCGTGGATGGACGAGGTGTCCGCAATCTTGTATACCTGGTACCAAGGGCAGGAACTGGGGAATGCAGCGGCCGACGTTGTATGTGGCCATGTAAACCCTTCCGGTCGACTGCCCGTTACCTTCCCCTGGCGGATCGAGGACTGTCCCGCTTTCTCCTCCTTCCCTGGCGAGGAGAATGAAATCCACTATACCGAGGGCTTGTTTGTCGGCTACCGCTGGTGGGATCTCTTGTCTACCAAGCCGCTGTTCCCGATCGGATACGGCCTCTCCTACAACACCTTTGAGGTCTCGTCGGGCTCGATTATCACGCATGCACTGGTTGCAGACAGCTCAACACCCTGGGTCGTTACGGCCCGCGTGAGGAACACCGGTGGGAGTGATCTACCAGGTCGCCAGACAGTCATCGCTTGGTTCTCGCAGTGTGCTCCGCGAAGGCTCCAGCGGCCGAAGAAGCAGATTTGCGGATTCGCCAAGTCACGGCCCTTGCTACCCGGTGAGTCAGAGGAGGTGGCGATTCGGATTGACTACCGCGCGTTTGGCGCGTTTGACATCAGGAGACGGTGCTGGGTGATTGATGTGAATGCTGAGTTTGAGATCCTGCTGGGTACCACTGCGGCGGATGCAGCGACTGCTTGGAAGGTGAAAGCGCCGAAGGAGGTTACTTGGATTAGATAGCTTTGGTTCGATATTGAAGTTGCTTTACTAAAGATAGTTTGAATAGAAATGACGCATAAGGATTATTTCAGACTATTCCTTGCATCCCAGAACTGTCAATGCAAGGCTAAGCCACTGGCATGGCTCCAGTCCTACCGTTAGCCCATCGGATGTCGAGATAGACATTTCCGACATTGCAAACATTTATCACGAATGAGTATCATAAGCCCTAAGCTCGAACTTGTGGCCAAGTGGATCCGGTGACGGGAGATTTCGGAGTCAGCGGTCGATATCGACATCTCTGTCCTGACCGTGGCTATGGCCGGAATTCAGTCTTCAAACACATCAGCTGATACCGGTATGTCGTGTTGGGATAGGGCGCACCCAGATAGACAGGGGTTGTATAATTGATCTGGGGTGTGGGGTACCTAAGCTACCCCAGCTGACTACTAGTATGGCGGAAGGTGAATTCCGCGCACAGAAAACGTCCTTATCAGGGCATGCGCCACACGGCCCAAGGGAGTCGATCTTGACTATCTCTAGTGTGTTTATATAGCGGGTAAGGTAGACTGCTAGTCGTAACTCAGCAGAGAATTCTCGAACTTTTGAACTCCTCATATCAGAAACTTGTGTATTCGCTTCCATGGACGGCTTGAAGAAATCTGAACATGCCGTGCAGGACGACGTCGACCTCGAGGGTCCAACGGTCCACGATAATGACCTTGCTGTTGCTGACCTTTCCTTCAAGGACCAGCTAATGGCAGCAAAGCACCACAGACGCGCTGTCCTAGCCGGTGGGTTGATTCATGCCACCCCTAAGTAATTGAGAATATGAGGTGTCCGGTCTCGAGGTTAATATGTATATCGCACAGCCTTCGCCTGTTCGACCACGCCTATCCTCATCGGCTACGACCTGACGCTGGTCGGTTCCATCATCGCCAATACGCAGTTCATCCGCCAGTTCGGTGTCTACGATCAGGCCTCGCAGGCCTGGTCGCTTCCCGCAGACCATCAGCTCGTGTGGTCGATTGTGCAGTACGTGACTGCCATGGTAGTGGCCATCGTCTCGGGGTCGCTCAATGACACATTTGGTCGGCGCGTGTGCTTCCTGCTCACTGTTGGGTAAGTCCAGAACCTCTGGTTCGTGGCGTTTGACTAAACAGTTCCCCGCTCACTAGACTCGCGGTTGTTGGCACCTTCGTCGAGTTATTCTCTACGAACTGGAAAGTCTGGATAGTAGCCAAACTCTTCATGGGCGCCACCATGGGATCCATGCAAGCAAACACGCAAACATTCGTCTCGGAGATCACCCCGACCGCAATCCGTGGCCTGACGCTCTCGCTGTTCCAGTTCTGGATCATCGTCGGCCAGCTCATTGCGTCGTGTGTCCTTGAAGGAACAAGCCACCTCGGCAACTCGTGGTCCTGGCGCGGAGCCGTCGTCTCGCAGTTTGGCCCTGCCCTTTTCTGCCTTGCTATGTTCTTCGCCTTTGTCCCTGAATCGCCGTACTACCTTGTCTCGCAAAGCAAAATAGCCGATGCCCGCGCATCCCTCGCACGGTTACGACCCAGGAACACCGATATCAATACCCTGGAGGAAGAAGTACGCGAAATGCAGGCGACGCTCGAGCACGAGAGCCAGCTCCGCGCCGCTGCCTCATCGATCTCCTACTTGGAGTGCTTCCAGGGGACGAACCTACGCCGCACACTCCTCGCGTGCCTGCCCGTCGTAATGCAGATCCTCACGGGCTACCCGCTGTGCGGAAATTACCTCTCGTACTTCCTCACGCTCTCGGGGATTCACAACGCTTTTCTAATCACGATGATCTCGACGATCGTCTCGCTCCTCGCCGCGCTCGCGGCCTTCATCCTAATCGAGCGCGTCGGCCGACGACCGCAGATGCTCACAGGCTGCTACGGAATGCTCGCATGCCTGCTCGTAATCTCAATTCTGGGCTTCGAAGGCCTTGGTCAAGGCTGGAACTACCGCGCGCTCGCAGCGTTCTGCATCATCTGGGCCTTGTTCTACTTCTCGTCTGTCGGTGCCGTCGGGTGGGCAATTGTGGGCGAAATTTCGTCCTCGCGGCTGCGTGCTAAGACGACTTCGCTGGCGGCGCTTTCGAGCTCGCTATTTAATATGGCCTGGTCAATTGCGATTCCATATCTGGTTAATAAGGAAGATGCGAACCTTGGTGCGAAGTCGGGCTTGATATTCCTGGGCATGGGGTTTGTCTGTACAGGGATTTGCTTCTTTGCTTTACCGGAGACTAAGGGGAGGTCCTTTGGCGCCCTGGATGCGTTGTTTGAGGCGAGGACGCCGGCGAGGAAGTTTTGAGCCCATCTCCTCATTGGCCTCGACATGTTGCATCCGCCAATCACAAATTAAGTTTCAGAGAAACCATGAAACAAAACCGCAATTGACACTACATCTTCATCTGCCTGCCTAGTAAACGTTTTGACCGTCGTTGATATATAAATCGATCCGGCAGAGCAAAGTTGAGAATATATTTTACTTCGCATTCAATTCGCGCGTCCTATCCACTTGCATTAATCGAGTACTCTTTCCACTTTCTGATTTCCTTTCGTTTCGTGGAGGAGATGTTAGTGAGTCTGTTGGAGTTCAGTGGCGAAACTGCCACGGTCGACGGACACTTCAACCCTGCGGGACTGGAAGGAACCGGCCGCCATATGGACCTGCACATGCATAGGTCGGTGAGCAAAATGGCCAGAGACTCAGAAGAAACATTCGAGTGGCGTACTGGACTTTTGAAAACTGTCATCTTTTTCCGATAAGCGCCGCAGCCTGAGCAACCATCGTACGATACTACGTATTAATGATATTACATATGTCCGTATTCTATACTCCCACCATTCCAGTCTTCATCACATACATTAATTATTAACATCTTAATTAATTATTCCTAATAATATATACTTTCCTGCAGAAGACGGCCTTTGCAATGTAGTCGACGCGCAGATAGTTCTTGAAGAAGTATTTTGCTACACTCTGGTTATATATATCCCGTGCCAAACCATGTATATTGTAGTTTCTGTTAATTTGTCCTCAAGCGCAGGGCCACGTGCTTTTGTAACTTAAGCACGCGCAAGCACCTACGCCTCGACAATATTCAGCATCACACGGCTCAAGGCGCGAGACGCTCAGATACGCTTAAGATGAGAGAAAAGACTTTGCCACGCTGGCCTGTGCATTTGTTACTCGAGCGGTCTCCCCATGCCTTTAAGGAAACACATTTCTAATGGTCCGATCCGAATATTGCTAATATCTGTGCTATGGGTTTTGTGGAGAAGTTCACGCTTCTCTTGCGCACTATAGTCATTATTTCTTCTCGGCGTTCAGCCAAAGCTTGCCGTAGTACTCTGGTTCAGTTCAATCGTAAATAGCAACTACTTGCTAAGTGGGATATCGCAAGTCGATAGATGTGCGATTTGAACTACTGTGCGAGTATCAACCGCTAATGGTCGTACCTCAATAGCCGCAACCAATTTTTGATTATTTGTTACATGGTCTGTGATTCTTGAGCACTACTGTATTTTTAGCTTTCTTGGGAATTTTCTCACTTATACAGATCGAGTACAGCGATTTTGGAAAACAGTTTACCCCTCAAGACACCAACACTTCGTTTCTCGGTCCGTACCCGAGACGGCACTAGGCAAAATTGGGCAAGATTGTAATTTAAAATGATCTATAACTGGACAATATTTTACCAAGCATCCCACAAAGGGTTAAGTGTGTTTCGGATACGGGCCGACAAACAAAGTGAGAGTGTCCGAGGGGTAAACTATTTTCGAAAATCGCTGTACAAGCTTAATGGGCCAGGCAATACAAATCAGCTGCAATGATAGGACTAAAGAAACGTCCAATCTACTCGGTAAAATATAGTGGCTCGCTACAATAGCCCGACGGTTCCGGAGAGCCACCTCGGCACAGTTCACATACCGTCCATACTTTTCCGTATGCACAGCTTAGGGCAGCACTGGTAAAATACGAACACTCTATGCAACGACAAAAAATCTATCGCTCGCCACGGTATCAGCTTAGCATTAAGTCAATCGTGCCTTGTCCAGCGACCGTCCTATCCAGCATCGATGATAAGCGTGTTCATATTCTGTTGGTTGAGCTAGTGATCATACCTTAAGACCAATACAGACTGATCTTGGTGATATATATGGTTCGGCAACCAAGTAAACCTCTAGTCGCATCACTGCTGCCGACGTAGGGATCGGCCGATCTTCTGGCCCTCTGTAGCTTGGTTTGAACCTTGCTTGGTCCCCTTCTGGATCTCACTTTCGACGATTGCCAATCGACCAAAAATGTCGGCTAGATCGTTCCAAATGGTTTTATTCTAGGCTGCTTGCCCCTGCGATGAGCGCTCAATATACCTACGGAGACAGTTAGCGCTTTACATTGTCACTCAAGATGGACATAACTGACCGTATCCGGTTATCTAGTCTAGATGTTGTTAGTAGGCCAGTCATGATTATGTGCTTGATAGGATTGTACTTCCTCCGTTAGGCATTCTAGAGCAACCGAACTGCTATCTCCGGAAAGTTGACTCTGCCCGCATAGTTCTAAGTCCCTTTGGTGTCTAAACATAGTCTTCCGCTGTCGTATAGCTTCTTGCTCACTCTTATCGGCCGAGGTGCTATTGTCCTGGTCGATAGAGTCATGTTCCTCCTGAAAGGATGAATCGTCCTCTGTGGTATCGCCTATAGCGGATCTAGATGGACTACTAGTATCCTTAGACTTAGAAGACGACAAGGACAATGCACGTTGCAATCGGCTTCGAAAGTTATGTCGTCGAGGAGCGTGCGAGACTTTCCGAATTCCGCCTATACTTGCGTCTAAGTTACGCTGGGGTGACGAGTGGTCCTAGTTCCGATTTTTTGTGATAGGAGGAGGCTCTCGGGTTTTATAGCATGTTGTATCGCGGGATCAAGATTGACTGTTTGCTTGCTCGCAATTGAGGAGGGGATCGTATGTCCACGCATTTTTCATTCCTACTTTCTACCCGTAGCTATCTATTTCTAAATCTACACATTTTTTACTAATGACTCACTAGGAGGCGGATCAGACAATAGAATTCAACAATTAGTGAAACAACGGGAAATTGTCAATAAGAACGGACTCTTATGGCCGCGTTCAACGTGTTGATTCTTAACGATATACATAGCATCAAAGATTAAGGGTTGTTGATTGTCAATAAAACAAATTGCATCAAAAATTAGGGCTTATTCGGGTCAAATCTCATAAACACACAAAATTCAATTTTATCTGCCACACATCAATCATTTAAACTCAACAACCCTACATGTTTAAGTTCACTTTCTACAGTTTTCTTCACCTATTCTGACCACTTCTGCTAACTACCCAAGCATAACCATGTCCCTACGTAACGCATGCGGCTGGCTAGAATAGGAGGAGAAAAACTTCTTCTATAGTTAGATGCCTATCCGGAGCTGTCGTGGAAAGCTCTCTCCGACGCATATTATGAAGAATACTAGGTGCATCGAAGCGTTAAATCTTTACGAGGGAAAAAGTACCATATTCTGCGGAAGCAGAGTCGAACTAGCGCCAAAGCTTCCCAAAATCCAGGCAAACCAAAGCGAGCCGTTCCCGTACGACGCTCCGTGGTCGGTAGCGCTTTATAGTCGAGTCTTTCTGCTAAGACCCCTGCCTAAAGGAACATCGACAAATGGTTCTAAACGATTCTAGCGGTCGACCCTATCTAGTCTAATGTCACCAAAAAGCGTACTTAAATAAGCCCAATTTCAGGTACGAAACACTTAATGGTCTTATATTATATGCTAACCCTTTGTTATAGACCGCTTGACGCTAGCACCGCTTCCGTGCCGGCCGAAAAGGTCACGGTCGTCATCCTAAAGGTGGGATTATGTGTATCGTGTCTATGCCGCCAAGGAGCTGAGATATAGGCAAACAGATCGTCTATTTTAGCAGCATTTCATCGGCTAGAGCACTATATTGCGATGTCCAAGGAACAGTGGCTAACTATCTTGATAAACAAGTCCTAGTGTATGTTCCTACGTCAAAGGCGGTGATCAGCAATGAAGCCTTAGCATAAGGAATATAAGCGTAGTTGTATACTATTCTATATATTCCATAGAGGAAGTAGCAATCGCCCTTCTTTAGAATGACAATAATATAGAGGATGTCCCAAAGTCAAAGGACTCGAGCACGATGGCGGTGCCCTTGGAATAGGCCCGCCTACGCATTTTCATCCTGGTCATGTAAAACCAGGGGGATTTCATCGCAGTGTTATGTGGCCCGGTAAGTACTACGGATAGCGTATAAGGATTTACGATACTATGAGTGTTCCCGTGGGGAGACAAGACATAGTAGCAAGGGGGCTCTGCGAAACTGGAAATACGGCATTCTTGTTGGCTTAAGGTAATACGTCTGCTTGGATTCGATAGATCGATGGTCGAAAGTAGGGTAATCTTTGGTGTGAAGCGTGAGAGAATGCGGTGGTTATGTAGGATTCAGGCCTAGGCTTCTGCCCTACTTGCTTCTAGGTTGCTAGTGATTCAGCCCTACAGCCCAAAAGAGAAGCCCAGAGAATTGGGGCAGAATCACGACAGTCTCGACCTGCTCATGTAGGGCTTTTGGAACAGACTAGCAGTGTACTAGAAAGATTCTCTCTCGCTACAGTCGTAATCAAGATGCGGAGGGTAATTGAGATAAAGTTTAGGGGCCGCAGGAGGGCCGGCCTACAACCTTAACCTATTTCCGGTAGCTAATCGGTTCCTCGGTTTTAGTGCAAAAACCGGAGATATTTTTATATAAGCTTATGAGATCTGTCTATGATTGGCATAGTTTCTATAAGCTATCCGCTAGGGATATGGGACTGACGATTGAACTGGGCCGATGAGGGGGTTGTGTCGGATTTAGAGAGTACAATCTCTACGGGAAAGCTTTATATAGGACAGAAGACATAGCTTCTAGAACGTTCGATAGACTAGATAGACAAGCAGCTTGCCACTTGATAGGAGAATTACTCTCCTATGACGGGAACTAGGAAAGCATAACCACGGATCGAGATTTAGCCTACTATTCTGTTGCCAGAATTCCGCGTGATATTCTAAATACCTTACCTGCCTAGACCGTACCTCGACCATACCTCCTAAGTAATAGAGTCCTTTTCGATCGGACACTGACGGCCGTTAAGTTTGGGCCTATAGATCGGTCTAGACCTTTGCAAATCCTTCACTTCTTCTCTAGGCTATAAATAGAACCACCTTGAACTAGTGTCCCGTGGGTCGTCGCTAGGATCTACATCGCAGAACCGTATCTACGTC